GATCAATGATGCCAGTTCGTTAAACAGGAATATACAGTTTATATTCATATACTCTCAAGCCCCAAGGAACCCCACCTGGCCAATTCATTGAACCTGTGTCATATATACTATTAAATTTTCTTGTCGAATGTGGGGCAGGTCAATTATTAAATGGAAATCTGATTCACGAGAATGTATTAGGAAACGCTGGGGTGGTTTTATGCAATAATTAGGTGGTGATTGTTGTTGTTATAGATTCAGCTACTTGGAAGACGTTCCAAGTAGCACGGGCTATGGTACGTGAGCCCGTAACTTACCTGGCACAGGAGCGGGGCAAGTAGCCCGGGCTATGGTGAGCCCGTAGAGGACTTACCTGGCACAGGAGAGGTGCTGTGTGTGAGGTGGTGAGGATGTGGTATTATATTGGCACGCTAGGTTGTTATGGATGCTTGCCTGGATTATTAATTAACCCCCGTCAGAATACCTTACCTCATAACAGTATTGATAATTTTATTTAATGCTGTATGACAATATCCCTAAAGGTACCACGTATGTGACTTTCTTCACTCATGTTTGTTAATTTTCTGATTTTCATGGCCGTGGGAGATCTTGCATTGTCCTCTCCTCAATTTGCTCGCTCCCGTTTTCTTGTGCGCTTTAAGCAGTGACTTCTTCAGACCACTCTCAGGTTGGCAGCGAGTTTGATATTTGGGAAAATGGTGAATGTAAAGTCCGTTGCTGAAGCTAGGAAACAGAAGTACTTGTAGTATGGATATCCCTTTCTAATAAAACAATAATAATAAAGTCCCACAGTTCTTTAAGAACCTAGTGATATATCCTCCCACGGACGCCAAACGCTGGGCTTCAGTTGATGTTTAGAAATTTTTAGTTTTGATTAAATAATGGAATCTTACATAATGTGAAATCCCACCCCCTGTGTTATGAGGTGGGATTTAGTCAGATATCCCTATCTAACATACGATATCTGTGCATGCGATTCAAACACTGAAAACTATTATAAGCCCATCACCTTCCTACAAAAATCTGCTACCAGAACAATACAAATTTTGTCTTCAGACAACGCACAGCCCCTCTGTTTAAATCCCTTAACATGCTGAACATACACTCACTCCACACATGTTGTTGTGTTACTTACTCTTGAAAAACTTATTTCGGTATTCGAATCCTGTTTTGAAACGTTATCTAGATAATTGTAATAGAATTCATGAGCATCTAACCAGAGATAAATATCTTTGATATTCTCAGAGTCAGACTAAATCTGTGCAAATCAAAGGACCCAGTCCTTTGAACTCACTATGGAACTATGGAACTCACTCCTTAATGAATTACAAAATTGTCCAACCAACTCTATTCAAAAGTAAAGCCAAGAAATATCTAATTCTTTCATAATATCATCATACCTTGTGCTGCTATCACACAAGATGGGTATGGGGTGCATAATAAATGAACTAAACTAACTATCTCATAGCATCTTGTGCTATTAACTCTCCCACGGTTTTAACAAACAGAAAACCACCTGCTGAAGTAGATCTGCCTTATGAACTCTATCAGCAGAACTGTTCACATATTATGCGTCACTTTGTGATTGAATGTGAACAAATTGAAGAATTTAGAAATACTTATTATAAATAGTCAATCAATGTGTATTTCATTCAAAATGACGTGGTAGTAGAAATTTTAGCAAAATACCCCAAGCTTGCTTACTGTAGATGATAGATGTAGATATGTGTAGATAGGCTTCTACACATATCTACAGGATAGGACAGTAGGCTTCCCACCCCCCTCCCGCTGGATGGGGTGGGGTGCATGATAAGCAAACTGAAATTATATGTATTTAGTTCACCACAAATGCTTAGCTTAGAGATGATGTGGTCTAGTTTTTGGACCCAGTATGACACCGAAACCATTTGTGCCACTCTCCCACAGTTAACATGGAAGTGGGGCCAATAATAAAATAATTAAACTAATTATTATTCTTAGTCATGTTGGGGACTCTTGGGGTCATGGCTGTATTAGTTTGATACACTATGTAACTGGCTTAACAAGGCTGCAACTTGCTCAGCTAAACTACACGAAGGAAGGAATTAGGACAGGAATATCCTTAAGTGCATTCGTACTTAATAATACATCTTCATATATATATATATATATATATATATATATATATATATATATATACTCAGGGGATGGGTATGGGGTCCATTACCGCCCATAGGATGGGTATGGGGAACCACTACCGCCCACAGGATGGGTATGGGGAACCACTACCGCCCACAGGATGGGTATGGGGGACCACTACCGCCCACAGGATAGGTATGGGGTGCATATAATAATACTCATGTTCATTACAACGACTCCAAACTAGGTATACTAAAACGCACGGCTATGATAATTGAACTGGAGTACAGGACTTGTACAACTAACATGCTTTAAGCTCTTTTTGAAGGCCCCTGACTGCGGCTAGGGCACTTATGATGGAGCTGAGGCAGACTGGGAGACCTTTGTCAATGGCCTCAATTCTCACACTCCACTAAGCCGGGCATAGAAAGATATCAACAAGATTAAGGCTAAAAATACTGCACAGATCTTGCACCCTCATCCCTCACACAGAGCAAATGAGCTGGTTGATGCTTGGGCCACCACTTCTAGCTGTAACAGTCTTCCTCTACCCACACACAGTAAATTAAGGGTCCTTGACTTCATGCTCCGTAAGGATGATGACTGTATCGTGCTCTTCATTGAATTCGGACTAACCTCAACCCTACATTTTCTCTAATTTTCAACGTATGATCATCTTTATAAAGATCCTTTACCCGAATAAACATCTTATCTTACATAATGGTCGAATTAATTGCATATCTCCCGGGGAGGATGGAATTACTTATGATGTAATGTGTTTGCTTTTTATATTGCCAGGAAATCCTGTGTTTGAAGTGTGTAACATGAACCATGTAACTATGGAACTTTCTAATTCATGGACCAACAGTTTCATTATTCCCCCCATTCCTAAAGCTAACCAGCAGAGTTCCTTACGCCAGTTTCCCTCACTATTTGTACTGTAAGACTCCTGATAGAATAGTTCTAAAGCGCTTCCTTCACAGAATTAGAGTACTTGTTGTCTCCCAGGATATATGGCTTCACGCATGGAAGGAGTATATGCCTCATTGCAGTACAAACTTCCTCCCTACATACTAAAATATCAAGCACAGTACTACTTTCCTGTATCTGAAGTTAGCCTTTGGCGTTGCACACCGGCGTGTAGGTCTGGGTGAACTCGCCAGAATTGATAAATAACTCATCCAACGACTTCGTTGGATGAGTTATTTATCCAACAGGGACTCATCTGTAGTGTTCCAAGGGCATACGTAAAAACCCCCCAAAAGTATTGGCCCATATGAGGTAGCTCCTATTTATATTCTTTAATTGTGCTCAAACGAGTATATGTATCTAAAGTTTACACGTTAATTGTAAGTAACTCGGTCATTCTTGATTGCCTTCAACTGCTCAAGATATTAACTAACGTGCTTGTGTTCCTGAAGCTTGGCACATATAATAATCATTGATGGTATCAGACTTTGTCTCCTGACGAATAAGCATCCTATAGTGGCCTCTGAATGCATAATAGAACTAACGAGTTTACCAAAGCATGTAGTTTTAAAGAGGGAGTTGATTACCATAGTTGATTCTAATTTATTATCATTTTGGATTGCTCTTGAGCAGCCTGAAGGAAGTAATGTACCGAAAACTGCAACAACATTTCGTAGATCTCAGACAATGTGAAAATTATACTAGTTATTCCATTTATCATCATACTGTAAAGCATATCTATGGGTCACCTAGTAAGGTCAGTGGACTTCTATAAACGTTCAAGCTCAAAGTCAAATTGAAGTAAGTTTATTGATATAATTCAATACATCTCAAAAGATAGGGAAGCTTAGGCTATTTCTATCCTCACGTCTATAAACGTTACTACTGCTAGACATAGTCTAGGCTACAATTCCTCTAGGAGTTTTCACCACCTGTTGAAGTAGATCTGACCCAGTGTAATCTGTCAGGTAGAAGTAGTCACATACTTGCAGCACTATGTAATTGAATGTTTAAAATTCAGAATTCAGAAATAATCCTTTTACAAACGTTCAAGGAATGGGTATTTCATATAAAATGATGTACTACCGGAAAACTTAATATATAGAAAGTTTGCGTAGTACATATACATGCACATGATTATAAACTTCCCACCTCCGCCCATTGGATGGGTATGGAGTGCATTGATTAATAAATCCAACTATACATCTAACTAGCTCACCAGACATGCAAATTGCCCAGCTTAGAGACTGTTGCGGGTTACCTCCAAAACTAATTATCTTATAAAAGACTTGATACATATACATTAAACAGTGTAACTATAGCTTACCAAGACTAACTCGCTTATCAAAATTAATTTTGGTTGGTCAGTTCGTGAGGTCATTCTGTACCTTTGTCAACTTGCCCACTACCACTCAAGGGCTGGGTGTGGGGGTGCATGATATATGAACACAACAAAACTAATCAAATTTTTAATACGATTATGTATGCAGAAGCATTTCCATTTGCTAATTTATTTGTATGCTATATTCACTATTCAAACGTAAATATTGTCCTTAATAATTTAGAATGTATTACATAATTACTGTATATATTTGTCCTGAAAACAACAGGGAGAAGGAGGAAGGGGGGGGGAAACAAACATTGCCATTTTAGAAGTAGATTAATGTATTAAATCCACCTTCCACAAATCCTATTCTTAAATCCACCAACTGTGAAATATTTACTCATCTATCAATCCAAACAGCGGCCTAAAAACCAACGTTTTAAACAAGAAGATTTGTCTTGACACTTGAAAATTAAAGAGTTGGAGTCTCTGGAGGTGGGCCGGGGGGAGGGCGTGAGCAGACTGGTGCCAGTGACGGTGGCGGCGGTGGTAGGCGCTGTAGGTGAGTGTTCCTGCTGTATATCCTTCCTCATCCACCTCGCCCAGGGCGGTACTGGCCGCCCACGCCCTCTGCTGCTACGCCCGCCCCACTGGCAATCTTCCTGGTGTCTCAAGAAATTGGTGTTTATTGTTGATGTTACAGGATTAGGATTTGAATGAGGGTTGGTGTTTTTCTTTTCTAATGACTTGAAGTCTCTACTTCAAAATGCCAACGCAGCTAAATACACCGGCTAAGGAGTAGTCAAATTCTCGATATGTGTGTGTATACCTAGAGAGTTTAGTTTAGTTCATTAACTATGTCCAGTACCAAAGTTTACTGGCAAGATGGTAAATTATTGTTGGGAACGCTGGTGACTTGTGCCCAATTTCCAGCGCGGGTGAGGGACAACGTGGCAGCCCCACGTACTCAAGCATTGTTGTCTTGTAGTAAAGTGTTGATGTGTTGGTCAGCCTTAGGCCTAGTTCCCGTTCTCGCTAGCAGATAAATGTCGTGGAGGAGCGGCGAACCCCCCCCCTCGTTGTCGCATCATGTTCCACCACCCACGGGACGGGTGTGTGATATTTTGGTAACCCTTACCCTACTCTCAACAGTATGGGTATGGGGTGCCCCTGTAACCCCTCCTGTTGCCACCTACTCTATGGGCATGCCTTGCCTTGAGGTTACCTTAAGGTGGTTCCGAGGATCGATATCTCTGAAGAGCAGCTTCTAAGTTTCTAGTTGGTGGTTTGGCCTACCAGACTGATAGACATCGCTGCCTGCAGTCTGATGTATAAATTACAGCCAGATTGCTCGGGTATCCTTTGAAGATGTTTCAAAAGTTCCCTTTTGAACACCATGAGAGGTCAGCTATGTCCCTTATGTATTGAGGGAAGGTGTTGAAAAGTATTGCCCTAAGTTACTAGCATACCCATATTGCACTTCTACTTTCCAAATGAGCTATTTTGGAGGAATTGGGTATTCCCTGTATGTAATCCTTCCACTACCCTCAGAGGTGCATATGGGGTGCCTCTGTAACCCTTCTACTGTATTATCAACCAGGGTTATGCAGGTGCCCTGTAACTCGCTTCCCCCGTATCTGAGAACGAGCTGAGCTACAACTTTAATGTCAATGCAAGTGTCTGGTAACCAGATACATACCCAACACTACTGTTTTATTTATGGTTGAGTATATACCAGAATTTACCCGAGGGCCACAATCTCTCAACCTCAATGGAAACGAGAAGCTGGTAGCTTGACAAAGGCAACCCCCTTCCCCTTCCCCCTCATTATTCTTTATCTTTTCCAACTTAATTGTAAACTGAAGTATAGAGTGAATCGAGTTTATATTTTTGTGGTACTACAGTACTTTAATATTATACTATAAGATAAGTAAAATATGATACAAAAGTTTGCTATTTATATATTTTTCTAAAGAGATGTTTAATGATGGGTATATACTTTAATTTAGATACTGTAGTTTTAGAGGTAACTATACAGATACTGTACATGTTTTAATATTCACTAACAGTGAGCACAAGTTGTCTTATTTAGGATGAATTGCATGAATGAAGAAATGCTTTGAGGTTCATTAGGTATTTCTTCAGTTTCCTTTTAAACTGATTGAGATTTACAACATTTTATTGCATTTGGCAGGGCATTCCTCAATTTAACTCTTTAACTCCATGGCATTTCTGCATTGGTAGTCATGCTCTTGAACATCAAATATTATTCAGTATTACCCTAAAATGTACAAATACTGGTACTGTACATTAATCTAAAGGAATGACTAAAACTGCATATAACTACCCGAGAGCCACCGACACTAGTGGCGTTGACGAGAACAGGAAGATGGCGGCTTGTTGAGGGATTTTCCTTGATAATCTTTTCCAGTTTGATTTTGAAATTTCTTTGCATTTATAGTTTCAGTGAAATATATAGCTTCAATGAATTATTACAAAAATATTTACTCTAATATGATCCTTTGTATTTTTTTAAATTAATATTTTAATTTTATCTTAAGGTACAGTACTATATTGATATTATTTTGTAGTAAAATTAACATTTTCGTAGGTGACATATGAACATGGTGTCATGGCCCCCTACACTCATAATGTTCAGTTTTAACATGTCAGAGATTATAAAACTGATTTTGGTTTCCCAGTAGAGTAGTTCGGTCGGGTTTGTTCTCGATGCACAATTGAGAATTCTGGGTTTGAATCCCGGGTAGGACAGAAATGGTTGGGCACATTTCCGTTCACCTACTGCCTCTGTTCACCTAGCAGTGAGTAGGTACTCAGGAGTTGGTCAGTTTGTTGTGGGGTTGCATCCTGGGTGGAGTCAATCATTTGACCTGAAGGGGGGGGGAGGGGGGCAGACCCCGATAATATCCTAACTTATAAATACTCTGGCTTCCTGTCCCCTGACACAATGAATTATTTTTATTTTTTTAACATTCCATTGTTTGGGAAGAGGAAGCTTGATGGCTTATTGATGTCACCATTGCCAATCATTGACCATTTCCCAGAATGCAAATGGGAAAATGAAATGAAAGAAAATGGGGTGAAGCAAGTCAATTAATGTCTAGGTTCCTATTTACAGGTAGGTGACAGAGGCATTGAGTGAAAGGAAACTTGGTCAGACATCTTGCCCTGGCTGTGAGTTGAACCCAGGACCATTCATTTGTAACCCTTACTGCACTAACTGCTGTGCTTGTGGGGGAAGACGGGCTTACTCTTAAGTAGCTACAAGGTGGGTGAAGTTCCGCTTTTAAAAGACTTTCGTCATATTAATGTGAAATGTTGTACGTGAGCATAATAGCGTTTTTTACCAATTTCAGTCCCTGAGCTCATTATGTGCCTCTGTAACCCTTTCCACTACTGTCCACAAGATGGGTATGTGGTGCATAATAAATGAACTAAACTAACCAACTTTCATAGAGGAGTACAGTTTAGTATTTATTTTGCACTAGAGTTCTTTAACAAATTTTAATCCAAATGATACCGATTTACTGCATTTAGAAGTTTGGCGTAACAAAATTTTCATATTGTTTCATATAACTAATATATAATTATTTAAAGCCTTTTTGGCTTATTAAAGCCTTTTTATACATGGGTTTAAAATACTGATTTGCATTAGGTAAACATAATCATTGGTTATGCAGTACCAGAACTGTGTTAATACTTAAGGAATTTTATCAATGAAATTATTGCTAATTAATGTGTTCTAAGAACAATTTGGGTAGCAAAAAAGAAAACTTAGATTATCCAAAAGTTTAGATTATACTGACGGGGTCCAGTTCCAATTACATGTACTGTACTTTACAATAATTTGTAAATAATTTTGTCGGGACAGGCTGCCTGTGTATGTATGCATGTCAGTATTTTTTTTGTGGTCCTCTAAAGATTGTGCTACTGACCTTTCTCAGGATGCAACCCCATAACAGTAGTCCAACTTCTGCATACTTATTTACTACTAGGTGAACAAAGTCATTAAAGGTGATTGGAAATGTGCTCAACCATTTCTGTCCCTCTGATTCGAATCCAGATTTCTCAATTAAGAGATGAGAACGAACCCAACTGTAATAATACTTGCACACCTTTTGCATATTAAAAATAGTTTTGACATTGTGGTAGAAGCTAATTATGAAATCTTTTATGAATTGTGATCACATGGTGTTCATTGATTCACACATTGAAATCATTTGTGGAAGAAGTGAAGGGAACTATCAGGAGAAAGCATGTGCAGGTAAGGTGTGATGCGTGTGCAGGTACAGTGTGAGGCAAGCTTTGCAGCTTCACTATTTTATTCTCTTGGTTGGTTATTGTTCGAACACTCGAATGATTTTGTCAAATTTTAAGATTAATCATGCATTACCATAACTTTGGTAGATGTAGGTAATTTTGTGTCTTGCCTTGTTTTGATGTGGTTTTGAGGTCTGACAAAGCATTCTGGTTTAGTCTGGTCAACCAGGCTGTTAGATGTTGCCGAACATAGTGACAATGTCTGGTTAATTAGATATATACTCTTTGGAGTTATTACAGTAATTGAATATACAGTACTGTAATTTTTATATTAAAAATAAGTTATCATTGCACAATTCTCTCTTCAGGTTTACAAAAAGTGAGTAAGAATGGACAAGGGTAGGGGTCGTGGACAGGACAAGGGCCGTGGTCGGAGCAAAGCCAGGGGGCAGCAACCACCAGGAATCCCCAGAGAGTCTCCTGGTGCTCCCTCATCTCGTCTACCAACACCACATGGCCGCCCCATTACACCTGGTCAGGTACAGTACTTATTTTTGTATTTAGTGACATGTTGCAGAAAGATTTGAAAAGACTTAATATAATGTACTGTACTACTGTTTAAAGAAATAAACCTGAGGGGGGGGACACTGCCGAAGATGAGAAGCTGCCAGTTTGTCAAGGGTCCCAAGTTGGTTTGTCAAGTTGATCTAGATAGGGTTTTGAAATGGTCAAAGGATTGGCAGATGCAGTTTAATGCTGATAAATGTAAAGTTCTGAGGTTAGGTAATGATGATAGAGTTACAAGATACGAGCTAGATGGTGTTGTGATTGCGAAGTCGGATTGCGAAAGGGATCTGGGAGTTATGATTAGTAAGAATTTAAAACAAAAGGATCAATGCATAAATGTTCGTAATAAGGCAAATCGGACACTTGGATTTATTAATCGCAGCGTTAGTAACAAAACACCTGGTGTGGTTCTCAAGCTATATCTTGCTCTAGTTAGGCCCCATTTAGATTATGCAGTTCAGTTTTGGTCGCCATATTATAGAATGGATATAAATTCACTTGAACGTGTCCAGCGTAGGATGACTAAGTTAATTCCCCAAATTAGAAATCTTTCATATGAAGAAAGATTAACAAAGCTTAAGTTGCATTCACTGGAAAGGCGAAGAGTTAGGGGTGACACGATAGAGGTTTACAAGTGGATGAATGGACATAACCGGGGGGATATTAATAGGGTATTAAAAGTATCAACACAGGACAGAACACGAAACAATGGGTATAAATTGGATAAGTTTAGATTTAGGAAAGACTTGGGTAAATACTGGTTCAGTAACAGGGTTGTTGATTTGTGGAACCAATTGCCGCGTAACATTGTGGAGGTGGGGTCCCTCGATTGTTTCAAGCACGGGTTGGACAAGTATATGAGTGGGATTGGGTGGTTATAGAATAGGAGCTGCCTCGTATGGGCCAATAGGCCTTCTGCAGTTACCTTTGTTCTTATGTTCTTATGTTCTTATTTGTCATGATGATTATCAGGAATCTTGGGTTCGGATCCCGGTCAGGACAGAAGTGTTTGGGCAAGTTTTATTTCACTTAATGTGTCTGGTTACCAAACAGTAAACAGGTACCTGGGAGTTAGTCAGCTGTTGTGGGGTTGCATCCTGGGTTTGACCTGAAGGGGGGGAATTCTATGCAAGTATCGTATATTTACCCAATTTACCCGAGGCCCACTAACCCTAGTGGTCTCGACAATGACAGGAAGCCACTGACTTGTCGAATGTCCTCCCATTTGCCTTGATGATCTTCCATCATCGGTTCCATGGGTTAATAACCCTGTGGGTGAAAAAGCATCTCTTCTCAGTCCTACAGTGTGGCTTGAGCTTGAAACTGTTGCTCGTTGTTTTTGTTACATCTGACCTTCTGAAGAAAATATCTGGATTAACATCCTGTAAATTGTTCAGTATTTTAACCTTTAATATTATCTGTTAGATTAAGGACCTGCCCGAAATGCTATGCGTACTAGTGGCTTTACAAGAATGTAAACTCGCCATGCTGTGTACCCCTCATAAACCCAGTGTACCTTCTTGTATACAGTATATATAAATATAAATAAATATTGCTTGGCTTAGACTCGGCTATAAGTATCTCTAGGAATGCAGGCGATGAGTCGCAATAACGTGGCTAAAGTATGATGACCAGACACCACACTAGAATGTGAAGGGACGATGACGTTTCGGTCCGTCCTGGACCATTCTCAAGTCGATTGTGAATGGTCCAGGACGGACCGAAACGTTGTCGTCCCTTCACATTCTAGTGTGTGGTCTGGTCATCATTATCTCTAGGAATTTTCATTATCTGCTGATGTAGAACTGATCAAATGTAAACTGAACAAAATTATTCGCACACCATCTGTCACTATGTGATGGAGTGCAAAAAGATATTGTATTTGAATTCAGAGACAATTCTATAACGAATGTTAAGAGGTGTAACATTCAAAATTATCTGCTATCAGAAGTCTTAGCCAAATATCCCCAGTTTGCTAACTGTAGGTAGTAGCTAAGTGAATTTAACCTATTCACCACTGCCCATTGGATGGGGGGCAGTGTGCAGGACAAACATATCAATTGTGAAACTAAATTCTCCACATGTCAGTTGCTAAATTTAGAAACCGTACTAGTGGTCGGTCTCGAGCCCATTGTTGTGATGATGTGCATTGAATTTTGTAACTAGCTCAAGATTGTAACTTGCTTAGCTAAATGAATTGTGGGGTTCAGTCCCTGAGCCCATTACGTGCCTCTAACTCTTTTCCACTACCTTATAGTGGAAAGATGGGTATGGGGTAAATAATAAATGAACTAAAGTTAAAAAAAAAAAAAAAAAAAAAAAAAAAAAAAAAAAAAAAAAAAAAAAACTTTGGATTCTCAATGAATTTTCAGATATGAGAAGTTAGGCTGATCATTTAGTAGTTTTCTGCTGAACTCTTTCTGCCCTATTTTCAAAGATTTTGGATATTAAGCCAGACCACTTCTTTAAAATGACAAATGCAACCTGTACTAGGAGCAACAGCTTCAAACTCGATGAGCCACAATATAGGATAGAAAAAAGGAATGCTTTCTCAACCTTAGGATTATAAACACAGGTGACCGCCTACCTGCCACAACTGTGAATGCCAGTACATTACTTTGGTTCAAAATCCAGTTGAAAAAATCCTTGGGAACAAAGGAGGAACCTTGGACAAGCTGTTGGCTATATGTCCTTTTTGAGGTCATTAGAGATGGTGGCCCTTGAATTAATAGGTAGATTTTGTGTACCTTTCAAAATATTTGTATCAAAGGTATTTCTTATTCTTTTTATCAGATGCCTCAGCCAGGCAAACAACCAGATGAGCCGGGTTCTTTAGCACTTTCAAGAGGGAAAAGTCGAGGGCAGGTGTCAGAGACCCAGCAGCAGCAACCCAGGCAGCAGCAGCAACCCTGGCAGCAGCAGCAACCCTGGCAGCAGCAGCAGCAGCAGCAACCCGGGCAGCAGCAATCCTGGCAGCAGCCGCAGCAGCAACCCAGGCAGCAGCAACCCTGGCAGCAGCAGCAACCCTGGCAGCAGCAGCAGCAGCAGCAGCAACCCAGGCAGCAGCAACAGCAGCAACCCTGGCAGCAGCAACAGGAGCAACCCAGGCAGCAGCAGCAAGCCTGGCAGCAGCAGCAACCCAGGCAGCAGCAGCAGCAGCAACCCAGGCAGCAGCAACAGGAGCAACCCAGGCAGCAGCAGCAAGCCTGGCAGCAGCAGCAGCAGCAAGCCTGGCAGCAGCAGCAGCAGCAGCAACCCAGGCAGCAGCAACAGCAGCAACCTAGGCAGCAGCAGCAGCAACCTAGGCAGCAGCAGCAGCAACCCAGGCAGCAGCTTCAAAAGGGTCTAGAGCCTGGAAGTCCACTAGATGCTACAGGCCAAGGTCCAACCCCTCAGGTATCTATCACTTATTATTTTCTTGATCATTCAAAACTTCAGAACCCAATTTCTGACCTGTTCCAAATGAAAATTAGTCATTATACCTGGCAGACGCCAAAATTCTCAGTAGTTTGTGTTGACAGATTACTGGGAAGATGGGGCACCACGAGTGTAGCTCTCATTCTGTGAACCACACTGTATCTTGTGCTACCCACTTCCTCAATATTAGTACTCAAGACATGAATCTTCACCAGTGTAATCACCTCTGTCAATTTATATTGGTCATATGTTGATATAAAATCTTGCCACAATATACCTATTAATCTTGACTGATCTGTTAGTTTAAGAACCTGCTAGAAATGGTGTGTAAAATGCAAGAATGTAAAAACACACCAATATTATGTACTCGCTAACCCATTGTACCTTCTTGTAAATAAATAATGTAAATTACATTACTCATCAAAGCCACTATCTGATGGCTCTTTAGTAAAATATTCATAAATATTATATTAAATATAATAAATTTATTAATTTTTCTAACTGATCCAGCAATATTTTTTGATACATTGAAGAATCAGGTGTATCAAATGGTTTACCCCTGCTCTTCAATTGTGCTTCGGGCAGCCCAACTTTCATTGGAAATATTTTACACTTTTATATTTTATAAAGTGCTGAACTGTAATGTCAATCCTGACCTTAAAAGCTTCCTAGAAGGTTGTAACAACCCATGAGCACCACACCAGAAACAAATACCTATTTGATATTCCAAGAGTACGACTTAATCAAACTAGAAATGCTCTACAAATCAAGGGACTCAGAATGTAGAATGACCTTCCCAATCATGTTAAAGACTGTACCTCTCTCAACCAATTTAAGATAAAAACTAAGCACTACCTAATTAACTCCCTGTAACCTACCTCACCCCTAAAATGTCAACCCATGTCTGCTGTTTGTCGACCAAATTGTATTTTTGCTATTTTTCTGCCATGTTCCCCCTTTTTTCTTTTTATATGTTCTCAACACAATTTATACTTTAATCTCAATTAGTATTAAGTTCTAGTTTTTTGTGTTTTTCCTGCCCGAAACGCTTTGCCTCATAGTGGCTTTAGGCATTGTATGTACTAGCTCTATCTATAAATCCATCAATGTTTGTATCACACCTTGTATGCATGTACTTTACCTGAATAAACATTTGAATTTGAATTTTTGAAAACATTTTGCTTAACTAGGAACCAGTATTAGTAGAAACTAATCTGGTGAAATACTATCAATAAAGATTTAAAAATTGTTAGTAATAGTTCATATTTGAATTAGGGGGATGTGTTTTATACATGAAATAATTGATATAACTCGATTTGACAATCTTAATAGTTTCATGAACTGCATTCCAGGCAACTTCTCCATGGCCCGCTGTAAGCAGAGCTGGGTATCGAGGGGCAGAAAGGAGTGGAAATGGAAGACAGGGACTGCAACAGCCATCTACGGAGAGCCTCACACAGGCTATGGCACGCGTTGGACTGGAACCTGGTGCTGTTGGAGGTAACAGCAGCAGTAGTGGTTAGTTAATATGGTATAGGAGTACAGTTGGCTTCATTCTCGACTCTGAATCGGGGATCTCGGGTTTGATTTCCGGGCAGGACAGAAATGGTAGGGCATAGTTCCTTTTGTCTAATATCTTTGTTCACTTAGTAGTACATAAGTACCTTGGAATTAGGCAACTGTTAGGTTGCATCCTGGGGAAGGTCAGCAATTTGACTTTGAGGGGCCTTCAATATAAGCCTAAAGTGTGTAATTACCCAAGTTTAGTTACAGGATGAGAGCTATGCTCATGGTATCCTGTCTTCCCAGCACTGTCATAATGTTTTGAAACTACCAACAGGTCATCATCATGGTTTGATGATGACCAAATTCATTGACAATTTGATGAATTGTCATCAAAATTCATTGATGACAATGCATTTTTATTATTTTCAACCTCTGAATTATTCTTGTTTATCTGTATTTTGCTTTTAATGATATTAAAGAATAGGTCTGGTTCTGTTTTACACTTGCAGTTCCTTTCTACCTCTTCTCACAGTTGTGCAGTTGTTTCTTGCATGTTTGTATTGTTGGTTCCTTTGAGAGGTTTGGCCTCTTCCTATACTGATTCTAGTTTTGTCTTGTGCCTTGTCACAATTTGTTGAACCAATCCTGCTTTCTGGTTCTATATGTCTTGGTATAAATTGTCTTCTACCTTCATCACATTTCTCACAAAATTTAGCATAAATCTTATTTCTTTGCCCATCAAATCTTTCCAATGAAATTCATTAAAGAACTTGCTACATTCCCAATGATCCTATCTTGAAATGGTTTTAAATTGTTTCTTTTCCATATTCTCTTTTAGATGATAATGCATTGCATATTTTATTTCCAAAAGGAAATGGTCACTCATACTCTTGGGAAGAAGGTACTGAATGTCAAATCTCCTTATTTCTGGGTGAATAGCAAATCCAGCATTGAAGGAACATCCCCTTCCCTCATTGTCATAGCTTGCTTAAGATGCTGATACACGAGTGTTTCTAGAAATAGGTTCATGAATTTGCCAGTCCAAAAGTCCTCCATTCTTGCTTTGTAGGCCCCAATTTTTTTATTTAAAGTCGCCAAGTTCCAACAATTGATTTATTTTTATCTCGCTATAATTCCTCTCGTAACTTCAACAAGCCATCGGTTTTGTCCTAGTCGAGGCAACTACTTTTAGTGACTTGGGTAAACTTGGATAAACATGTTGTGTGCTTTAGAAAAAGGAAATATGCCCAACCATGTCTCACTAGGGAATCAAACCCAGGACCCCAGTTTGTGAGTATAGCAATTTGGCAGCTGTACTATGAGATCTTGTTAAATCAAATGACTTCTCACCATTGTGTAAATATATATGTATGACTGTGTGATTTTAATTCACCTTTGTGCTTCTAGTTCTCCTATGCAAGAGAACTGTAATTTGACAGCTTGCCATGAAGTCTCATAGCATGATATTTGCAGCTATTACTCCACATAGCTTGTTTTTTTTTTTTCTTGCTTGCTACCATTTAAGGTCTTCCATCTCATCATTTTTCAGAAAAGTACACATCCTGCCTAATGGCTTAAACAAAATGTGAGAAAAATATTGGTGATGGCTTCAACAAGCAGCAAATCAGAGAAATAATTTAATGCAGTTTGAGCAGGAAATATAACTTACAAAGGATGTTAAATTTGTTGTCCCTAGGAGTGGTGTAAGCATTTAGAAGTTAAAACCCAAGATCTTTGCCTGTCAAGCCAAAAGCAAATGATCTGTTGCTGCAGAAATTGAAAATATTTGGTAATGCTGAAGTTAAAATGGTTTCCAATTCTCTTTGGCAATGGTACATACAAACATATGTGGAAATAAAAATATATTGCGATATAAAAATATAATTATAAAATGTCCATAATGGGTAAAAATAAAACATTGGCAGCACATTTCCTTGATGTAAACTCCATTTTACCTATTGTGTAGACATTTAGGATTGACTCCCATCCCAGTCTCTTCATGCCTTTATTGCAGGGGCTGTATGGTAGAGTGTACCACATAAAGGTGGTGGTGAGGTCACAACTAAGTAAAGGGATTTGATTGTTCAATAACTTGGCAGGTGGAGACAATGGTGGTAGAGAGGTGGGTAACGGTCGGTCTGTTGGACGAGGAGTCCAACGTGGGAGGAGAGAGATAAGTCAGATTGTTTGGACTAAACCTTCAACTATCACAGTGAAGAAGGGTAAGAATAACTTAAATACCTTGTATCATTTCTGTGCTTGTTTATGTAGAGTATTTATCTTCTAAGCTTTTAGTGTTGAAATATAAATATTCTGAAAGAGAAATAAAGATTCTGAGAAAGACATTTTGGAGATACAATAGTATTGGTAAAATGTCATTATTTAATAGTATAACTCAATATGACATTTATAATGACCTTTCCATTGTATAAATATTTAATTAAAAGTTCAACCACACTACAATCATTGACAGGTGGTGCTGGTCAGAGCATTAATGTTTTGACAAACTACTTCAACTTGGTTAAAAAGCAAAACTGGATGTTGTGCCTGTATCATGTTGACTTTAGGTAAGTTCTTTGTCATATCATGCAATTTAATTTTTTGAATGGTTTACTTTGATTTACAAATTACAGGACTGTGGCATTGGTACATGCAACCTTTGAATCATGAAACATGAAACATTGGTACATGAAACATGAATCATTCATGTTGATTCGACATGAATCATTCAAGTCGAATCGACTTGAGAATGGTCCAGGACGGACCGAAACGTCGTCGTCCCTTTATTTTCTAGTGTGTGTGGATTGGTCAACATACTTCAGCCACATTGTGACATCGCCTCTAGATCGTATGTACGAGTCAATGAATGTAATATGACTATGTATCAGTGAATGAATGTAATATGAATGTACTGTATGTACCAATGAATTGACCTTAGGGCCACTGTCTTGCTAGTGTCTCAATGAGGACAGGAAGCCAGCAGTCCCCATTTTATCGAGCTGGATTTTAAAATTCGGCAGTGATTTGCCATTTACAGCATCAGTGGGTAGGCATAATAGGTGCAATGTTAGGCTCGCAAAAGGACAGTAGTTTCAAGCCCATTAAGCCACACTACAGGACAAAACATGAGATACTTTTTACAACTTTAGTGTAATAAAGCAATGGAATGACCTACTTCATAAAGCTGTAAATACCTAGACAATATTTACAATACAATATCTCCTGCCCGAAACGCTGCGTGTACTAGTGGCTTTACAAGATTGTAAATACTATGTTATGTATTCTCACAAACCCAATGTACCTTCTTGTATATAAATAAATAAAATAAAATAAAATTTGTAGAGATGTTTGATAAGGTGCCGACTTCTTGTTCCCATTGTGGCCACAAGAGACGGTAACATTGAACACCTAGGGGTATCTTTAGGCTAATCTGACATTAGTTATTACAATTTATTTATTTGTTTTGCAGTCCAGATGAGGATCGGACCAGAGAAAGAAAACAACTTCTAAGGCAGCACCAAGAAGTATTAGGTGCAAATTACCTTTTTGATGGAATGCAGCTTTATCTTCCTGTCAAACTTGGAGCAGAGGTACAGTATGTTAGCTCACTTCATCAGATATAATTGCAGTTAGTGAGATTCCATTTTTTTTCTAAAGGCAACTGGAATGGTATTAATTATTAAGGTTAAATGTAGTGCTTGCCTACCTAACTTCGGATGAAAGATCTAGCGCATTATGCTCCGCCTTCTAGTAGTTTGTACCTGATGTGCTAATTATCCCCCTCACAACATTGTTTTCATCATCTTTTCTGTTTTAAAACAACCTTTTCCCACAGTGCACTCCATTTGTATAAGGAGCATGACCTTTCTTGCATCTACACGACTTGAGTTTGTGTAGCTTCCATTGATGTCCTCTTGTTCTACCTTCTTTTAATTTAAATAGTCTTCTTTTATTCCTCTGTCTATTCCCAACTACTTGGAGTGGTCGGTACAGCGACAGCCCAAACAGCAAATATCTAACGCAGGTCAGTGTTGGGTATCCTACGGTCCAAGTGGTTGGGCACCATCCCTTCCCTCAATCCTATCCCAAATCCTTGTCCCCATAACCCTTCCAAGTGCTGTGTAGTCATAATGCAGCCAGTTATCTGCTCACTCCTAAAGTTTGCCAAAGTTTTCCTTCAGCATCCAAGAGTTGCTTACCCTCTGTTCTTACTCATCGTCAACTTGACATCATCTGTAAACATCAACATATTTACTCTCTGGGAGGTCATTTTACATAAATTAGAAAGAGTAGCGATCCTAGGACAGAGCCCTTCATTTGGAACTACATATACATTTTTTCAAGATTTCTCTTGGCTCATTTGTTTCTGGGGATGACATTTTGGGTTCTTTCCTTGCCAATGAGATTAGGTCCACAATCTTGCAGTGTTTAATTATCCTACTGCCCTGGCATCGCATCTTGTTATCATCATCATCCCCCCCCCCGAAGTCCATTTCTTGACCGACTTGCCATTCCATGAGTTTTTATCTCTTAGCATCCTCTTTCTTTTTTTCTGTCATTGAACACCAGGCGTATCTAACACTCTAGTGGCCTTGACGAGGACAGAAAGCCGGCAAATTCTCAAAAGTTTTTGCCTATTTGCCTTGATTTTTTTCTAGGTGGATTTAAACGTTAAAAAAAACTACTGGCATTTACAGCTTCAGCAGGTAGGCGGTTACTTGGGTTTATAACCCTGTGGGTGAAAAAGCATCTTCTGTTTTCCGTTCTGCATTGTCTTGTTGAGCTTGAAACCATTGTCTTGTTTGTGTTTCATCTTGCCTTTTGAAGAATTTGTCTGGATCAACATCCACCTAACTGTTCAGTATTTTGTCTCGATGAGATCTACCCTATCATGCATGGTTTTCAGTGTTACCCTGAAGCCCTCAACCATTCCTGGTATGAGAGTTGACTTGGTTCTGAAATTTTTTTCTTCACAAAGTATATATTGCTGATACTGATAGATACATACTTGTATGAATACTGATTTAAGTATTATGTCGGTTGGTATATAAAGTATATAACTAAAGTATATTCTTCACTGGATGACTAGGAAGGCAACCTTCACTGCTCTGTCATACATGCTGAGCCGTCCCTATCCTACGGGCGGGTGGAGTGGGGGAAGGGGGGTGGAGATTTCTAGCTCTAGTAGAGCATAGAGGACTTTTAAGGCTGATAGGGTGATGTGACTCAGTAGGGGGAAACTACTGCAAGAAACTAGCTACAGGGATCCACCAAGACCCTAACAGAAAGGAGTTTCATTGTATTAACCATTTTAGATGAAATATGAATTGTAGCCATCAAGGTAAGGGTTTGTTGGCAGGTAGAGATGAAATACTGTAAATTGATTATAGGAGTGAGGCTGGTAGATTATGAAGTATTTTGATGAATAACCTTCAATCCACATTTTGTTTAGTCTATATGTATATCGAAGGATTAAAAATAAGTAGTAATAATTACAAATTTTGACCCATATTTTCCTATTTTACTTCCAGGTAACAGAACTCGCTTCCAAACGAGAATCTGATGAATCGATATACACAGTGAGGCTAAAGTTCATCAAAGAGTTGAGCCCTTTGGATTCCCAATATTTACAACTGATGAATATTATTTTACGTCGCTGTATGGATTTCCTCGGTATGCAAGTCATTGGGCGTAACTACTTCAGTTCTAAGGATAAAGTTCGAGATGAGAGATACAAGTAAGTACAAAAGTTGGATGTCAGTATTGTGGATAAATCTTTATTCTTTGAATGTATGACTACTTACCTCTGGCATTAAGTTTTAACTTTAGGGCATTGTCTCGTACCTATTGTATTCTAGTACTCCTGTCGTGCTGGTGGCTTCTGCAATCTGCTTAAAGCTTGTTCCAAGTTTTTACCATTCTTAACTGTGTTCAAGCTAATTTTACACATCAAGCTCAAACTTTAGCTAATTTTTTTCTAACTTTCATCTGTACTTATACATTTTTACTTTACCCCAAGATTTTGTTTTTCCTTCAGTATCATACAGTATATAATAACAAATAATTTATCAAAACTTCAGAAGACCTGTATTTATATACAGTAGTTATAAAGATTACATACATCTTGTTTTAGTATCAAGTACTGTATTAAATATTGCGCCGAAAATATACCGACTATTTAAAAACTTCGTATTGAACCTGAAATGATGTGTGTAATTAGTATGTAACTTTTTTATTATTATTATTATTACAAGAATCTACTATGAAATCGGTTTAATCCATCCTGCAAAGTGCACATTGCAGGGGAAGATTTGCTGAATCATAGTTGCACTGTGCCTGTGCATCACAGGGAGATGAGACTTGATCTCTATTTACGTCTTCCCCTTTCCTTCTCATTCAGATACTTCTATTTTATAAGAATTGCATCTTAGGAGGATAGGAATTACTGTATCATAATGACCAAATTTTATTTAACTTGTAATTAGCTAAATAAATTTTTCCAGAGTTGAAATATGGCCTGGTGTTTGTACGAGCATTCGCCATCATGAAAATTCCCTCCTTTTAAATGTTGATGTAATGCACAAGTTCCTTCGAGCAGAAACAGCCTATGATGTTTTACGGAAGTGTGGACAAGCGAATTTAGTAAGTTTTTTTTTTGTGTGTGTGTGGGGTTGGAATATCCTTGGATGTGAAATAATTTGCCTGCTGTGCACAACTCTTCCTCTGTGGTATTCTTATCTTTGCATTCATTTGGATAAAGATTTCTTTAATGATGTAATTCAAAAGAAAAATGATCTTCAAATAAATTGGCAACCTTAAAAAAAAAGGCTTAAAGGTACAAAAGTAAAAGCAGTAACAGTTATGCTTTTGTTGGGGACAGGAAGCCTGTTAAGTTTATCGAGTTCTCTCTGGCCATTGATTGACCATTTGCCAGAATGTAACCTGGACCGGTCGACACAGTGATGGCATATTACCTTCTTAAAATTGTTAGATTAACCACTTAACTGTGCCAACCGAGTATTCTCGGTCGGTGGGAAACTGCGCCAACCGAGGAAACTCTTTTTGATTTTTCCGTACTCATTCTAAATGTGTATGAGGTTGGTTGTGTACGAAATGGCCTTTTAAGACCTCCAGTGAGAGGCAGCCATCTTGGAAAAAAATCCCAGAATGCCCTTGGGATGCTGGATGGGTTAGTACCGAGTGAGCAACCATGGGTAGCGCACGCGGCTCCCAAACACCCCTCCGACACGGTGTTGAAAGATAACGCTCTGTCCGTGAAATTCAAACCTTTTTGTTTGAAGAACATAAGGGTCATAATATTGGTGAAGCTAGGCGCAATAAGGACCTAACACAAAGGTTGGATGCAAATGGTAGTCCCTATGAGGACGATACAGCGAGCGTATCCAGTTGTAGCTCTAAGCGTCACCCTTGCAATCCTATGCTATCTCCAATTTATTTAGACGATGCATAGATAAATCTTTTCTGCGTTCAGTGATGATGCATCGGATACAAGTAGCATAGGTGAACAGTGTTAGCGGCTTCCATGGTGGGGTTTTCCATAGATAATTTTCAAGAATACCTGAATCTCTGCTTGACTGATGGACACTCTTTGAGGCAAGCTGAATCTCTTCCTGTGTGGGACCATACAAAGCGATCTTTTCAAGACTACCTTACAAATTGATCTTTTCCTATAATCTTTTCAATACTACCTTATGCTTTACAAGCTTGGCTACATACAACCTACAAGCACTAAAGCCAAGGGTGTACATGATTGCATTATTTGCAAGCACACAGAATGAGGAAACAGGAAGCGAAAATTTATCTGTACCTGGTGCGACGAGAGCGAAGTCACGCTGTGCACCATGGACTACTTCGTTGATTATTACTCGCTTCTGAAGTACTGAGTGTGTAATACAATGTGTTACTGTGTAAATAGTGTGTGAAGCTGTACATATTGTAATTTTAGTGAATTTTTAACAAGTAATATTGCGACAATAAACATTTATTGTGGACACATTACTGACGCATGTATCTCGGTTCCATGGAACATTATAAATGTTCTACTGTATACATATTGTAAAGGGGACAAATATGCATCATATGCGATAATAAAATCAAGTAAAACCGCATTGGAAATACATAGAACAAATAATTGAAAATATATTTGTGGCAACACCCGATGCTTGAATGGCCCGCACGACCATGTCTGGGCAATTCACACACGGGCGACCAGGCCCTGATGACGTCACAGCGCACCTTGTCCACGTCCCCACAACCAAAGTAAGTGGAATTTGGTATTTATTTTTACATAGACATGTTCAGGGAAGGGAATTTATCATTTTACGAAGAAAGAATTTTTTGGGAACACTTTATTTCATGCGCACGGGGAATTTCACAATAAACTCGGCGCAGCACAGTGGTTAAGGATTTGCTCGAAATGCTATGCATGCTAGTGGCTTTACAAGAATGCAAAACTTCAATTCTCTGTACTCTAATAAACCCACCATTGTATGTTGGTATACATATTATGGTCCTCATCATTACTACAGTATAAGTACAATACTACCAAAACAGGAGGATGGGCTGTAAAATTGGTAATGCTAAAACATTGCAGAAATTCAAAATCCAACTGGATAAAATTGGGACATATTGGGAAGGGAAATTGTTATTGAGGCACTATTATAGCAAAGCCACTTAGGTGCTTTAAAATATATTGACTCTAGTAACTGTAGTTTCTACACTAATTTCACATTTTCTCATTGCCCTGTTAAACAGGTAGCCGAAGCTGGCAGACGATTGCTAGGATCTATTGTAATGACACAGTACAATGAGAGAACATACAGAGTGGATGAACTGGATTGGCAGCTTCATCCTACTTCCAAGTTTTCCTACAGAGGAGGAGAGATAACATACATGGAGTATTATGAGAAGGTAAGAAGAAAATATTTTAGAAGTGATCAGGTGTTGCTATAACAGTTCTTTAACCCTTATTCTTGGAAACAGTCATATATCGCATAATAGTTCTAAATTGTTTTATGGTATATATATATTGATTGCAGGTATGCCGTATTATATTTGATCACGTGGCGAGCGGCATACAGCATTCACAATATGTAGTGTTGTCTGTCATCAGCAGATGGCACCGAGGTTCAAATAAGCCATTGAGAAAATATCATTTGCATTTGTACAGTACTAAAATACAGGTAAATATAAATACTGTAATGGATAATTCTCAAAACGAGGTTTACTGGGAGGGGTCCCAATGTGGATCCCTGTTGCTGTCTGGTCATGTGATGGCTCCACATGTCAAATTGCACAAGGTCTTTGTGTGTTAAGACCCTACTGGAGATAAGAGGCCAAAACCTGTTCCCTTCAGGCACAAAGAGTAAAGGGTGCTAGACCACCCAAATCGAGGAATATACACCAGAATGGTGAATGGTGGAATGAGATAACTTAACAGCAAGGCAAGAGTAAACAAAACTGAAGAGAACACCCAGCAGTTTAGTAGTGTCATGGCTAGTTGTATCTCTCCACTACCAGGTGGCAGCACTGGGAGCTGGTGGCTCAGGACAAGAACACCAATCAGCCATTTGCCTGGTACTGATATGAACAGTACTCCCATCTGATCAACTTGTTGACCAGACCACACACTAGAAGTTGAAGGGACGACGACGTTTCGGTCCGTCCTGGACCATTCTCAAGTCGATTCGACTTGAGAATGGTCCAGGACGGACCGAAACGTCGTCGTCCCTTCAACATCTAGTGTGTGGTCTGGTCAACATACTTCAGCCACGTTATTGTGACTCATCGCCTGATCAACTTGTGCTCTTTAGGTCCCACGTGTTTTCCAGATAAGTAAGGTACATCCTTTGGCCTCTGCTTTATGGGGACCTATTTGCTTGTGTAATTCATTTAGTATTTGCTTCAATTGCATGTTTTTTCTATGCCTAGCTTGTGTGAACTCTTGATAAACTGTTCACCTTAAACTGCATGCGTCTAGTTTGCCTTGTCTAGGCTTGCGCTAGTGTTGCATCTGCCATGAGGGTTGTCTTTCCTAATGGGTGGCTGTCTGAGAGGCCACCCTCTTGTGGAGGGTCTCACTGTGAGCAGTGCATGCATCCGACTCCTCTGAAGCTGGGGGTGGTCAGTTGTTCTTTGAGGGGCACAGAGATTCTCATGTTCCTTTCATGACAATCTGCTATGCTCTTCACTTGTGCCTTTGTCTATAGAAAATTGGGATGTCTAGCTTTTAATTTTTATTAATCTAACTGTTTTATTTTAATAAATATAAGTTTGTCTTGTTAATTTAAAATTTTGTTTAAATTGCCAACGTTTGCAAATATGCCATGATGTGCATGGGAGAGAATATCGCTTAAGTATCTTTTTACTGTACTACTGTATTGAGCCTCTCCTCTTTGTTCTCGTCAACCAAAGGGGTGTGTGTGTGTGTGAGGGGGGGGGGGGGATGCTTTCACATAATTGTGAGGATTTTCCCCCACTTGTGATTTTTCATCATGAAGCTCTTTGTTACAACACTTGTGCCAGTAATTATAAACAATATAATTATTATATTACATGCTTATAATTACAGGCATAAGTGTTGATGTATCCCATGTTGTATGTAAATTTATCTGAGAGCCACCATCTCTCCTCAGTGGGTTCTTCATATTGTTCAAGAGTGTATTTTATCCAACTGGATTTTGAACTGAAGTAATGTCTTGGCATTTATGGCTGTTGGCAGTAGGTGGTTCCATGGGTTTGTAATCCTACTATATAGGTATAAAAGCATCTCTTTTGTTTTACATTGTGGTTTGTTGAGCTTGAAGCTGTTGCCATTGTATGTGTTGCTCTATCTTTTAAAGAAGCGGTCTGGATTAATATCCTCCAACATGTTAAGTATTTTACGTCATGAGATCAGCCCTATCATGTCAGGTTTGCAATGTTAGTCTTCAACATTTCCTGATATAAATCAACCTTGTTCTGGGATGATTTTTGTAGCTCTGAAATTTTTCCAAAGCAGATACTGTATGTTCATTCAAAGGTGGGAGTCTCCATGCTTGGTTTAAATAGTCCATATGAGGGTTGCACCAGGGATGTGCAGTTCAATAACCACTTTCTTTTCCTTTGAAGTCAAAGGTTCATTTCAGTAATTGGTGAATTCTGATTTCTAGGAACTTTCCTTCATCTATTGCAGGATAGTGTTGTTAATTTGATAGTTATGTGCATAAAGATCAATTCCACAAGGGCTGTGATGAGGGTTCGAACCTATGCACAGGATGTTCCCAGAAGTGCCTTAGTCAACTGTACAAAATGGTCATTGTACAAAACATGGTCAAAAGAATTGCAACCTGGAGTGCTGCTTCCCCTCGCTAGGATCCTGAAGCTTCTCCGAAGGCCAATCGGGGGTTTCACACAATTTCCCCATGCACGCGGGCTATGTCAATCAAATGTTCTACCTCTACGCCCTTACTTCCTTACACACAGAAATCACAATAGCATGATATATCAAATGAACAAATCCATAAGGGTTGTTCATCAAATCCCTTGTGGATTTGTTCATTTGATTTATGATGCTATTGTGATTTGTGTGTATTACGTGCATTATGCCCTACATTCAAGGGCTTGCATTTTCTGTATTAAAAAGCCTTTACCAGTCTTCTGGCTATTTGTGAAGGCAGTGTAGATCTCTATAAGGCTTCCTACTTACTGTAGATCTTGGCATCATCTGCAAATTTGATGTGGTTTGTAATATTTGCATCTATCTGTCAACAAAATCATATTGTAGATTTTGTAGATTGTACACAAGGTGTGAGGCGCCTGACAGCTGGATGGACAGCGCTTCGGATTCGTAGTCCTGAGGTTCCGGGTTCGATCCCCGGTGGAGTTGTTGTTGTTGTTAAAGATTCGCTACCTGGAACATTTTGCCCATTTGTCTCCGCCTCCGGTGGAGGCGGGGACAAATGGGCAAAATGTTTTTCACCCTGATGCCCCTGTTACCTAGCAGTAAATAGCTACCTGGGAGTTACAGCTGCTACGGGCTGCTTCCTGGGGGTGTGTAACAAAAAGGAGGCCTGGTTGAGGACCAGGCCGCGGGGACGCTAAGCCCCGAAATCATCTCAAGATAACCTCAAGAAGGTGTAAATGATTCCTTCCCTCCGTTAGGACTTTATCAATGAGCTTGCCTGTATTTGAGGTTAGGGTGATTAGTTGGTAGTTGTCTGCTGAATTTTTTCTACATTTTTTAAAATAGGAGTAACTTTGCATCTGACATCTAAGGGGACTTGGCCCATAGATTTCTCTGAATAAGAGTTAGTAGTACACATTTCTTCAAGCAGTTGCTTCATGATTTTGAATTGAAATCCGAAATTTGAAAAATCCATCCGAACCATGTGCTTCAGGTTCTTTTAATTGATCAGTGCTCTCCCTGATTGTTTTGTATGTTATGAGAATTGTCATTAATTCATTCTATTCCCTCCCCTCCCCCCCCTCTCCTGCTTCAAACATTTGTGTGGGTATTGGGATGTTGTCTTGTCTTTTTAGTGTGAACTCTGATGTAAAGTATTCATTGTGTTGGCTGCCTTTTTATTTATAATTATAACTTTCTCATTCTTTAAGGCTCATACCGAGTGGTGACCAGAAGAAAATTAACATGTTTGTAATTGATATACAATACAATACAATACAATTTTATTTAGGTAAGGTACATACATACAATAAATATTTACAAGGATTGTTTAACTTATAGGTATAGCTAGTACAGTATCCACTCAATTTAACAGCCTATATGGGGCTGAGCCCAAGTCGTTATTTACGGAGCTCCGTTATTTCCGACGTTAAGTCGGGTCGGGTAATTTTTCAAGTAACATTCAGGTAGGATATATTTTATACTGTATAACTAAAATTAAATAAAGTTCATTGTGTAATTGCATTCCAATTTAGTGCACGGCCGACGATTAAGCCAGTTGCTGGCTGCTGCATGGATGATGTGTAAACACGCTCTGATCAAGTCCAGATGGGTGGGAAAAAATTGATTCATTCCTTTGTATTGAAAAATATTTCATGTATCAATCAGCGAGTTAATATTGTCTTAATAAAATTTTAGAGATGTGTTTTGATTTACCCTGAACAGTGCAGGTAATGTATTTTTAATGTTACGACACAGGCTGTGGCGGCCATGCCATAACAATGGCGATCGAGCCTTGTCACTGAGAGCTAGCCAAGACGAAATATTTTGAGCTCACCTTTTCTCTGCTGACGATAGAATATACATTTGCAGAGACTAATATGTAGCTTTTGTTGAAAAAAAACAACTAATATCTTGTAATACTATAATAAAATTGGTAAATTGACTGACTTTTAATGTTACAACACACGCTGTGGCGGCCATGCCATAACAATGGCGATCGAGCCTTGTCACTGAGAGCTAGCCAAGACGAAATATTTTGAGCTCACCTTTTCTCTGCTGACGATAGAATATACATTTGCAGAGACTAATATGTAGCTTTTGTTGAAAAAAAACAATTAATATCTTGTAATACTATAATAAAATTGGTAAATTGACTTACTTTTAATGAAGCTGAAGATTACGAAGCTGTGAAGATTACGTCATCCTCTGCAGCGCTTGTTTTATATTGTTTATGTTGTATACAGGGTACATACTGTATGTACACTTATTTTCAGGCATATTTTAATAGAGTATCCTTCTGTTTCTTGATGTCACTTACTGTACTTTTCCCGATGTTAAACTCTGCTGCTGGTCGTGCATGAGAATATCCTTTATCAAGTTTCTTAATTAACTCCAGCTTCTGTGCAACCGTCAGGCGCTTCCTTTGGGTAACTTTTGGCATTTTGTAAATTAAAAAGATCACAATTACAGTACAGTAATATCCTTCACAATTGAAGCTAGCCGCGCGAGTTCACGGTAAACAATGGGAACACATGGCCGGCGGAGTACATACTAGGTCCGTGGGAAAAAAAATACCTAGTGCCTATACATACTATAAAAGGTATTTATTAAGAAAACAAAGACTTTTGCTTAATAAAAACTGTTTCAAAATATTTTATTAATAATAATTTACAATTTTCTTCATTAAAGTGAATCATTTTAAAAGAAAATTAAGATGTAATATATGACTCTGGACGATCCAGGTCGGTGGCGGCCTGGTCGCCATGTGAGGGGATGCTGATGCCACAACAAACCCAATACCGACTGTCGGTAATATCGACCGCAGACCGGTATAGCAGGCTCTAGCTACTGGGCTCCCAAACCGGTCGTTAATACCAGCAGATCGGTATAAAAGAGGCCGTTAAATTGAGTGGATACTGTACATACAATGCCTAAAGCCACTATTACGCAAAGCGTTTCGGGCATGACTGATAATGAAGGGATGTGATCACCTGTCTGACGAATCTTGTGTTTATGATTGGAGGAGTATAGTAGTTGTGGTTATTTACCCATATTGCTACATAGTTTGAATGACTTGATAATGGTCAGGACAGACCAAAATGTTCTTTTTTTTTCATTTTCTGATGTGTGAGTTGGTAGTCAGGTCTCCAGCCATGTTAATGCCATGTTAATTCGGGCAGCCAGCTGCCCGAAACGCTTTGCGTATTAGTGGCTTTAGGCATTGTATGTACTAGCTCTATCTATAAATCGATCAAATTTTGGAAAATCTCTTGTATGTATGTACCTTACCTGAATAAACTTTTTTTTTTTTTGTCACTCATCATCTGCAAATGGATGGATGAGTAACTTTACGTGACTGTGACTTTATTACTTTGTAGACTTTGTAGACAAAGACTTAGACTCTGTAAACTACTTATGTTCTTTTTTTTTCTCTACAGGCTGATACCTTCAGGAAATATTGGTTTTGTTACTTAAACAATATTTTATAATAAAAAACAGCTGGAAGTAGCATGGGTTTCTTATTAGAAATGTACTGTAATAATACAGATTTAAAAAAATTAATATTTTGGTTCCAATTTCTACCTTTGATAGAAGTAGTAAGGTTGAAAAAATGGTGTTAGAGATAATTAACCTTTATCTTAAATTACAGTAATGACTCGACAATTGGCGTGTTAGACTTGAAATCATTTTAGTTGATGTTGGAAATAGTTTTCCTTTATTTCTAAGAATTGTCACATGATTTGTACATTTTTTGTTTTAGAATTATCAAGTAAAGATTCGCGATGTCCAGCAGCCAATGATCATGTCAAAGCCGAAGAAACGTGACTTACGAAGAGGCTCTGGTTGTATTTATCTTGTGCCAGAATTGTGTACAATGACAGGACTTACAGATGACATGAGAGCTGACTTCAATATGATGAAAGATCTTGCTCAGTATATGAGGATGGGCCCTGATAAACGTGTTAAAGCCTTGCTGCGTTACAACAAGGACTTGGCAGCTAATGTGAAAGTAAGTATAAATGTAGTATAGTCCTGTTAATTTGATGAGCATTTCATGATATAGCTTGTCAGTCAATTTGAGAATGTACTTCATTATATCAAGGATTCCAGAGGGTCACCATTTTCAGCTGTATATATATTTTTGTTTAATTGCTCTTTGTACAATTGGGTTTTGATATTCTTTATCCCAATTTATTTTTCAAGTATTATTGCAAGGTAGGGTGTCGGTAGTACAGTTACCTGGTTGATACCTGGTTGATGGGGTTCTGGGAGTTGTTCTACTCCCCAAGCCCGGCCCGAGGCCAGGCTTGACTTGTGAGAGTTTGGTCCACCAGGCTGTTGCCTAGAGCGGCCCGCAGGCCAACATACCCACCACAGCCAGGTTGGTCCGGCACTCCTTGGAGGAATAAATCTAGTTTCCTCTTGAAACCAAGTTGAAACCTCTTGAAACCAAGTTTCCTCAAGAAACCAACCAAGTTGGCTTGGTTCTCGACTCACAGTTGGGAATCATGGCCTGGGCAGGACAGAAATGGTTGGACACATTTCCTTTCACTTAATGGTAAATAGGTGCCTGGGAGGTGGTCACTGGTTGTGGAGATGCATTAGTTCGACCTTGAAAAACCTTGATACCAGTCCAATGTGTTATTATTTTATGATTATTTTTTTCTGTTAATCATAATTATTTCAGCTTGATTTTACTACTATATATAAACTCATAAATATTGTACAAATTTTTATTGATACCATGTTAATCCTCACCTTTAATTTGTGGTTAGATACACAAGACACGATCGGCTCCAAACCCTAGGTGTACAGTACTTGGTGGCTTTATGAGACAAATGCATTTCCCTGTAATACACACTTATTTATCCTCGTGTTTATTTTATTTAGGTTACAATTAATGTCCTTTATTATAAAAGCAAATTAAATAGTGTTAATTTCTTCAGGCGAAACAAGAGATGACCCACTGGGGCCTAGAGGTGTCCCCATCGTTGGTCTCGGTTCAAGGCCGGATGCTGCCTGAAGAACAGATTATAGTAGGAGGGCAAAGTATAAGTTTTAATCGTAGAACTTCAGATTGGTCTCGAGAAACACGTTGTAAGTAACTTGGCACCTTTTAAATGCAATAGAATACAAGAGATTAACCACTGCACTGCGCAGAGCACCTTGTGGAGCTAGATCAAGGGTGTGGCATGTAGCGGTTTTAGAGATGGAGAGATTCAAAACTCCTGCGAGTACACGGGGCTCAAATCCTGTGTCTCGGGACTCCTGTAAACAGACGCCATTTAAAAAAAAATCGTGGATAGCATTCCCGGCTTTGAGAGCCTCAGTACTAAGTGAGCAACCACGGCTGGCACATGCAGCATGAGCTAACAGCACCGCTGTTCAGTTTGTGAGCACAGCATCGCCTAAAAATTTCAAAATATACTGTACATGTAACTATTATTTAGGGAAGATAGTATTACAGAAGACCTCTTACTGAAAAAAATGGCCAGGATTCTGATAACAGGATTGTAGTGATAAGTAGTGCTGTGCGTACTATGGTGGGAGGGTTAATCTTGGTGAGAAAGGGAGGTAGCGCCATCTGCTGACTGTGTGGCAACCTGTTATTGTTTGGACTCGCCATACCAGCTTAGTGGTTCGCTATGGTGAATACAAATGTAGATACGTGTATATATAACGTGTGTATTAGTGTAATAACAGGAAAAGTAGTATGTTGGGAGGAGCCACTTTGGTGGTGGTGTCTGCTGGCTGGTGTGATTTGTCATGCAGTGTAGGGTGGCCTGCTTTTTAGACACCATACCACCTTAGTTGTACAGTTATGGTGAACAAAACATGTAGATACCTATATATATAACGTATATAATGGAATAACAGCAGAAACACTGTGGTGGGAGGAGGAATGTTGGTAAGGGAGGGAGGGAGCATCAGCTGACTGTGTGGTGACTTCTGTTATTGTCTGAACCCATCATATCAGCTTAGTGGTTTGCTATGGTGAACACAAATGTAGGTACATTATATATAATGTATGTGTGCAGTGTAATAACAAAATGAACAGTATGCTGGGAGGAGCCATTTTGGTGAGGGAGTGAGTGATGCGCTGTGGTCTGCTGGCTGCTGTGTCACTTGTCATGCAGTTTTTTGTGGCTACTATGTTTGGACACCATACCAGCTTAGTTGTATAGTTATGGTGAATAAATTGTGTAGATAAGTATACACAAGTGAATATAGTGTAATGACAGCAAAAACTCCGATTGATAGAATATAATGTACATAGAACATATATCGGCTCCATCTGGATCGTTGAGCCGGATCGACGCTCTGGCTCCATTTGGACTGCTCGTGTTTGGGCAATGAACCACCGGGGGTTTGATGCGGTCCTTGGCTCTTTTGGGGCTGGTCGCATCGGGCGACTTGTCTGCCGAGTTCTCAGGGTTTGGCTCTCTTGGCGGTTCACGTTGGGGGTGTCCAACGTCCTGGTGGACGGCCTGTCTTGGTTCATTCCCCGTCCACAGAATGGACAGTCGACACTGACTCGTTCAGTTGGCTCTGCCTGTACGGGCTCCCGGAGATGAACTTCTTCGCGTCGGCTTATATAAATACATATAAAATGTATTTATATAATATATAACAAAATAGAACATAAAAACATACTAATTACTATTTGTGTTATGTACAGTATTACTGAACTTGCATCTCTTTATTATTGCATTATTCATCAGTTCCAGTTAATAGCTGTTCTTATCAACAAATCATTCTTTTTAAAAATTGTCTCGTTAATTTCTGAATATTTTGATGAAGGCGTCACAATGCTGAAGCCAATATGTTGGAGATTTAACATTTAGTAATTTTTACATAATTTGATTATTTTTTGCTTCCCTGCCCCTTTTGCCGAGCAGTTTAAGGGTTAAGGCTGTGCAGCACGGTGGTTAAGAATACAATTTATATAATACAGTACTCAGAATTGTTGGTCACCTCCTAGGATAATGTGATTTTTGTCAAGGTTGTTCTTGAATAGCAATATTGTACAGTATTCATGAAGAAATTGACAAGTTTTGTGCCATGATTGTATTTTCCTTCCAGCAATGATTCTCAACACACCTGTTGACCTTAAGCACTGGGCGATTATCTACCCAATTAAGTTCAGTGATGATGCACGTGAACTGGTTACCCATTTGCAACGGGTTGGAAAGCCCATGGGCATGAATCTTGCCAATCCTTCTACGTAAGTTAGCTCAGTGTTGAAATTATATTAAGCTTTTGACCACCATCATGTATATCAATAATTTGGAACTGAGATTTATTTGGTCATTAATTTAAGTCCATATTCTATCATATAAAATATTGCATGTTTTTCCCCCCAAGTATACCAAAATGTTTCACAAAGTGCTTCTCATTAACCCTTCCACTGCGCATGTCATATATCTATATGATTTTGGCCTGACTGACTGGACTGCTGATATCATGTGTGGGGGGATTTATAGCACTGTGTAATATTTGTAAGTCCTGCAGGTACACGAGAATCACATCAGCTTTCTTAGCCCTCCAGAAAACAAATATCATTTGAAAAGAAATCATGGACACTGTTCCTGGGTGTGAAGGCCTCGGTACTGAGTGAGCAATAAAGGCTCACAACACGAGTTAAGAGCAATGCTGTTTAGCTTGTGTCCACATCATCGTTTTAAAAATGCCGAAATATATAAGTAACTATTATTTTGCGATAATAGTATGGTAGAAGGTCTTAACTGTAATAAAGGCTATGTACAGTGTTCAGATATCAGTACAGTAAACGATGCTGTTTATGATGATCACAGTGTGAGCATCCCAGCCAGCCACTGCACTCTATTGTTTGGTGCATCCATGCATATGAAATGACCTTATGTGCCTTTAGAAAATTAACGTGTGTAAAATGATTCATATTCTGGATTTAGTGAGTAGGATGCTGATGATAGCAACATTGTACTTAGAGTTAGTGATAGGCATGTTGTATTGGAGGTATTATGGCAAGTCAGGTGACTAGTGTTGGTGCAATGTTGCGTATGGGGCCCCATCATACTAGCTTAGTGGTTCATTATGGAACAAAAATGTGGATGGTTATACAGTAGTGTATATGTATTGAGAATATAATAATCTTGTCAGTAACATTTGCACAATATTTTTGAGTACAGTGGTACCTTCGTTTACGATCCTAATCCGTTTCCAGAGACGAGTTGTACACCAAAAATTCGTAAACCAAAACGAATTTTCCAAATAAGAAATAATGTAAATTGAATTAATCCGTTCCACACCTCCCAAAAATATTAACTTGAAATACATTTTATACGGAATACCACTCATTTTTTACTTCAGTACAGTATGTATATCTTACTTTATTGAGGACTCTTGTTGGCATATGGAAGGCAGTGAGGAGGAGGAGAGGTGTTAAGTGTTTGAAAGGGAAGTCCCCTTCCATTATATCAGGCAGTGATGACTTTTCTGGGGTACTTGCTGTCCTACGTTTTGTAGTCATACCACTGGGACCTGGTTGTGGCTCACTGCTTGTTTCTTACTAAAAACCTGTCTATTGACACTTGTTTTTCCCTATGTTGTAACACTTGTCTCACTTCAGATATCACATTGTCGTTATAAAGGTTAACACAACACAACGACCTGCTACATCTTGATTTGGGCAACACCTTTCAGCAAAACTTTGCAGTTCTTACCATACCACACATTTTTTTAACGAGGAAGAGACATTCTGTACTGCCTCCTCCTCCTGCCTAGGGAGCCGGTCGGCCGAGCGGACAGCACGCTGGACTTGTGATTCCTGTGGTCCTGGGTTCGATCCCAGGCGCCGGCAAGAAACAATGGGCAGAGTTTCTTGCACCCTATGCCCCTGTTACCTAGCAGTAAATAGGTACCTGGGTGTTAGTCAGCTGTCACAGGCTGCTTCCTGGGGGTGGAGGCCTGGTCGAGGACCGGGCCGCGGGGACACTAAAGCCCCGAAATCATCTCAAGATAACCTCAAGATAACCTCCCCTGAAGACATTTCCTCGGCTGTATCTTGCGTCTGCTCCTCGTGAAGGGCTAAGAGTTCGTCGGTGGTCAGTTCTTCGTTGTGTTCCTCCACCAACTCCTCCACATCAGCACCATCCAACTCCAAGCCCCAAATAGTCTTGTCACCCATGCCTTACTATCAGCCCTCCATATCACACCTTTTGCTTTTCTACACATTATATTTTTTGAAAACCCTTGGTTTTTTGGAATGATGCACAAGCAAGGGTTTAATTTTAAAATTGCCACTCGCATTACCCCACAGCACAAGTTAGCCCATCTTTCATAGGCTTGTGTCCGAGCAGTGACTTCTCCTGCATAATGGATGTTTTCTTCAGCATTTTTTTCCAGAATAGCTCTGTCTCGTCACAATTAAACACTTGTTGTGGTAGGTATCCCTCACTACTGTATCTACAACATTTTTAAATTCGCCAACAAATCTTTCGGCCACTGATTTGTCTTGAACTGGCACCCTCCCCATACCTCACAACACTATGAATGACGCTTCTTTTCTTTTAAAGTTCTCAAATCATTCCCTGATTGCCTTAAACTCTCTCATATCTGCATTACTTGTTCCAGGGGTATTCTTTGTAAGATCTTCATGCAATAGTCTTTCTTTTTCACAAATGATGGCCTCCAAAAAGACTATCACCTGCTAACTGCTTGTTGTTTATCCAAAATAATAATAACTTTCAACATCCCCAAGTGTTTGTGTTCTTTGTTTCGTGATTGTTGACACGCCTTTTGCCACTTTAGCACCCATAATGTCCTTTTGCTTAGCAATTACACTGGATATCGTTGACATAGGTTTGTTGTACTGTCTAGCTAGTTCAACAACAGTCATACCATTTTCATACCTGTATTTACTAATGATCTCTTGTTTTTCCTCCGTCATCCTCACAACTATTTATTTAGGTTGAACTTTACCACTGACTTTCTTGGGACCAATGGCGTTATCTTGATGATTTCGGGGCTTTTTAGTGTCCCCACGGCCCGGTCCTCGACCAGGCCTCCACCTCCAGGAAGCAGCTCGTGACAGCTGACTAACATCCAGGTACCTATTTTACTGCTAGGTAACAGGGGCATAGGGTGAAAGAAACTCTGCCCATTATTTATCGCAGGTGCCGGGAATCGAACCCAGGACCACAGGATCACAAGTCCAGCGTGCTGTCCGCTCGGCCGACCGGCTCCCGGTGTGATGTATAATAAGAACATTTATGTTCAGAAACCCAAAAAGCACAGAAACAATTAAATTTTTACAAATAATTCAAACGCGGTCGTCACTATGCGGGATACAATGGTAAACAACCGCGTGTGCTTCGCCCTGAGCCCATGAGCTCGGTCGACCCATGCATGTATCCACAGACGTTGTATTCCAACGAAAAAGTTGTACACCAATTCAAATTTTACGATAAATTTGATGTATACCAAAAAAATTGTACATAGGGTAATTGTGCATGAAGGTACCACTGTACAGCGATGTTTTGCACATTTTATTATATAAATTTATTAGCTTGCACACTATTATCAGCAATGGATTAATTGCTACACCCGAGATTTATTAAGTTTGCATTCCTCTTGTAGTGATCAGCTCCTTTAGCCTCTGCTTGCTTCTAGGAAGTGCATAGGACATGTCTCCATTGCAAGGCCTGTTGATTGGGAATTAATTAACTATTTGCTAATGTGATGTCTGGCCTCGATTTGAGTGTTTGTGTCTTTGCGGAGTTTAACCCGTGGGTCATGTTAAAATTCATATCTGCAGCTCGGTGCACTTTCAGAATTAAGACTATCTGCATGTGGAGTGTAGTTGCCTTGTTCTAACTAAACTTAATCTGCCATGATTGTGCTCATCAAATATAGCCTGTGGCCAAAATCAAGAGAGTACTGGGGTGTTATCATCAATGCCATGAGAAGCTTCTCTACAGCACTTACAAAATTATTTAAAAAGTAAAAAGAATAGGTAATCCAGTTCTCTAAATATCGATAGATTAAAAGTTAATGACATGAATTGTCCAATTGATGGACTTTGGTGGAAGGGGTTGATTGGTGGCGGGCCACCAGGACCTGACCCACCCATTAGCACAAAATTAGGAAAGGGCTAATTTGCACAAAAATGAAGGTGACATGTTACTCGTTTGGGTCCTATTGCTGAAGTGAGGAAGTGTGTTAGGGTTATTGAGGTGCACCTAGGCCAGCTGCTGTCTTGTAGGTAGACAGGTTTGGGTATACAGAACATGTCTTCCCAACTAGGCCTCCTCCTGTATTGTGGCCTCATGTGTAGGTTCTCAGGACCTTATCTAAAGGAGCGACCGAGAGGTACAGCATATAAATATACATTTGGGCGCGTTATATTTTTAACCACAATTATATTTAAATAATAGTACCAATTTTCTGTTATTTCATATTTAATGTCAAGAATTTAGAGGAGAGTTTGAGGGCCAGACTTATTCTTTGACAGATTTGTTTTGCGTGCCGATGGTGCTAATGACTATGTAGGTGTGTTGAACCAGTGTGCAGGAATGGAGCTCGTGATGGCGATACTGCCCAATAATCGTGCTGATAGATACAATGCCTTCAAGCGTCATCTTAGTATTAAAATGGGTATCCCTAGTCAGGTCAGTTTAATTAAACTATTATTATTTATACAATTTACTATTAAACTATTATTATTTATATTAAAATCATATTTTACACTTGCAGTTGTAAAACCTAACCACTTGGGCTGGACGGTAGAGCAACGGTCTCGCCTCGTGCGAGTCGGCATTCAATTTCCGACCGTCAAAGTGGTTGGGCACCATTCCTATTCTGTGGCACGTCAAATTTTTATCCCGATCCCTTCCAAGTGCTATACTGTATAGTCGTAATGGTTTATCACTTCCTCCTGATAGTTCCCTTCCCTTGCAGCTGAAAATGAATTTAATGGCTTTGTACCATTTAATATTTAAACAAAATTGTTTAATTCTATTCCGTCTTTCCTTCTCCCTATTCTTTCCTTCCCCTCCACTTCATCTTTCCCCTTCTTACTCTGCTTCCTCTCCTTTATCTCCACTGTCTTTCCAAATTGGTTTTCCACCCAAGTTCTCATTTATACCATATTGGCATACCTCCCTACACCATTCTCTTTCCTCTTCAAACTGTGACCTGACCTTCTCCTCCGGTGAAGCTGTTTGTTCAGTCCTAATGTTAGCCCAGCAAGTTGCCCTCATTGCATTATGTTTTGTACGCCTTCGGGTAATGTTTCTCTCAAGGGCTGTGTTGTATTGTCTTGTATTAATTTCTGTTTCAGTGTATTTTGAGTAGAACACTCTTCAAGAAGCAGCGCTTGATGTCTGTAGCAACAAAAGTTGCTATTCAGATGAATTGTAAATTGGGTGGTGAACCATGGAGTGTTGCAATCCCCATTAAGGTGAGAATAGTCAAATAATATTTTAAATTTGCTATGTGATCTCAAAATCCTATGGAAAATAATATTGTGAAAAATGATTCATATTCATAATTTAGTGATAGGGTTCTGATGATAGCAGTGTTCATAGTAATATTAGCGATGTGCGTAGTATATTTCTGGGCATTTTGCATGGTCAAGTGATGTCGTCTGTAAAAGACGGCTGGTTGTAGTGTGTAGTTCTATACTGTACGGTTAAGATTTTATTACCCCACACACCAGAATTACTTAGTGGTTTGTTATAGTTTATAAGAATATGGATATATATATATATATATATATATATATATATAATGTGTACTGTATATAGTGTAATAATGGCAAAAACTGTTATATTGAATTAAAAATATAATATATGTGTCAATAAATATGAGCACCATATTTATGAGCAAAGCCATGTTCCAAACATTTAACTATATAAATTCCTCACATTTTATTCACTACAGTATTTATATTCTAATTCACTAATTCACTACAGAATAGTAAATTTATTCACTATTCACTACAGTATATTCAATTACACACTATTGAATAATATTACCAAAAAAACTACAAAATCCATTCAAAGATATCAAAACTATTATGTAACAATGTATTTCTGGTATCTCTTGCCACACTGGCGGGTTGAAACACACCGCTGCTGGCGAGTACTCTATCAGCACTTGAATATTGCCAGACTTCCTACACCTATCATGGGCCTAAGTACGTCTCATACAATATATACATATACATTATTTTTCCAGTGATCAGAGAATGCATTCTAACTATTAGGATTGAACAAAATTTCTTGGGAATTATTCGTGCACAGGGTGGTTGTCAAATTAAACTAAGGTGCAGAACACTGGTTAGATTTCATGGTTTGAAAGTGTGCGTGTGCCAAAAAAAAATGTACAGCAGTCTTTCCTTGTGTTTTTTTTGGTTAAAATTAAATGTTAATTGAAGGGTTAAATCCTGAGAATTTTGTAACCAAGTATGAGCATTTACTGTAGTGATAGTTATGATCTCAAATACAGTATAGTCTTAGTATTAAGTACAAATGTGTGTGTAATGAAGTATATCAATTATACATTATAGTATCATACTTATGATTACTCTGGCCCTATATGATATGTTCATTACTGTGAGAACTGTTTCAGAATGCCATGGTTATTGGGTACGATGCCTACCACGACAAGATGTCGCGTGGTGCTTCATATGGTGCAGTTGTGTCCTCTCTAAACCAGCCCTGGACTCGCTACCTCTCTCAGGTTGCCAGACATTTTAACCAGGAAGAGCTGACGGATAACTTTGCATTGGGTGTAAAAAGTAAGTTTATTAAAATTTATGTAATGTGTTATATGCATCAATAAATTGTTTCTACTTAATGAAGATTCGTATAGTTTAGTTCATTTATTATGCACCCCATACCCATCTTGTGGGCGGTAGTGGAAAGGGTTACAGAGGCACATAATGGGCTCGGGGACTGAACCCCACAGTTCATTTAGCTAAGCAAGTTACAATCTTGATGAGCTAGTTACAAAATTCAATATAAGTCGTCACATCAACAATGGGTTCGAGATCGACCACAAGTACAGTTTCTAAATTAAGCAACTGACATATGTGGAGAGCTAGTGTCACAATTGATATGTTTGTCCTGCACACTGCCCCCCCCATCCAGTGGGCAGCTGTGGATATCTTGAGGTTATCTTGATGATTTCGGGGCTTTAGTGTCCCCGCGGCCCGGTCCTCGACCAGGCCTCCACCCCCAGGAAGCAGCCTGTGACAGCTGACTAACACCCAGGTACCTATTTACTGTTAGGTAACAGGGGCATAGGATGAAAGAAACTCTGCCCATTGTTTCTCGCCGGCGCCCGGGATCGAACCCAGGACCACAGGATCACAAGTCCCGTGTGCTGTCCGCTCGGTCGACCAGCTCCCCGATAGGTTACAATCACTTAATTACTACCTATAGTTTGCAAACTGGGGATATTTGGCTAAAATTTCTGGTAGCAGATCATTTTGAATGAAATATTTACACATCGCTGAAACATTGGTTATAGAATTTTCTCTAAATTCACGTATTTTTTCGCACTCCATCACATAGTGACGGAGGGTGTGCGAATAATTTTGACAGTTTACATTTGGTCAGGTCTACATCGGCAGATAATGAGAATTCCCAGAGATACTTGTAACCGAGTCTAAGCCAAGCAGTAGTAACATCTAGGAGTTTGCTGATTTTATTGGATAATCCATAGATATGTGGCTCCTCTTGCATGATAGTATGATGATAGATGGAATTACGGGTGTCAATTTCACTTTGCCTCAGATCTACAAGATCTTGTTGAAGTTCTCGGTGTACTGCTGCTCTCAGATTGCTCATTGACAATCCAAGGTTACACTCAACGTCTCCTTTAAAGGCAGATTCTTTGGCTAACTTATCAGCTCTATCATGCATTCGAAGGCCAACATGAGATGGAGACCACATGAAATGGACTCTTTTACCATCCTTAACCCCTTAACTGCGTTGCCTCCAAATGTGACACCCCCGCAGTGCGCAGGAAATAAATTCTCTGGAAAAAATTCTTTTTTCTTTTTAAAGTGTCAAAAACCCTTCCCTCAGTATGGGTATGTAAAAAAAAGTCGAAATTGTACTTACTTTGGCTGCTATGGGGTCCGGAAGTTGGGGCGTGACGTCATCATTCCCCGTGCGCCCGTGCCGTAAGCTCTCGGGGGCGGTGGGGCGCTCGGGGCGGGGTGCGCGAGTTGCCGCGAATATATTTTCGTTCATTTTTTGCGCACCTTTCCAAATACATTTTCATTGTTTTTATGTGCCAATCCAATGTATAATGAACACGTACACTATAATATCGCAGTACAACATCCGTACTGTCCGTAGACACTGTGTTACGTGCATGAAACTTGTGCGCACATATGCAGCACATATTTACTATGTATCATGCTAATTTGTGTATATATACAATCTATTTACACACTATACACTGTCACACACTATATACATTCACCATCAACACATTCAGAACACCGCGTAGCAGCTGTTTCATATGGGCCAATAGCAGCTGCCTCGTATGGGCCAATATCAGCTGCCTCGTATGGGCCAACAGCAGCTGCCCCGTATGGGCCAACAGCAGCTGCCTCGTATGGGCCAATAGCAGCTGCCTCGTATGGGCCAATAGCAGCTGCCTCGTATGGGCCAATAGCAGCTGCCTCGTATGGGCCAATAGCAGCTGCCTCGTATGGGCCAATAGCAGCTGCCCCGTATGGGCCAATAGCAGCTGCCCCGTATGGGCCAATAGCAGCTGCCCCGTATGGGCCAATAGCAGCTGCCTCGTATGGGCCAATAGCAGCTGCCTCGTATTGGCCAATAGCAGTTGCCTCGTATGGGCCAATAGCAGCTGCCTCGTATGGGCCAAATAGCAGCTGCCGCGTATGGGCCAAATAGCAGCTGCCTTGTATGGGCCAATAGCAGCTGCCTTGTATGGGCCAATAGCAGCTGCCTCGTATGGGCCAATAGCAGCTGCCTCGTATGGGCCAATAGCAGCTGCCTCGTATGGGCCAATAGCAGCTGCCTCGTATGGGCCAATAGGAGCATTTGACCATGAACACATTCAGAACACCTCGAGTGAGAGCAGCCACACCCAGCCAGTCTCCCTCACTCCAACATCTTACTCGCCAACATTGTTCCTCCCACCATATTATTATAGTTCTTATTACACATGTTCTATATACCTATCTACATGTTTTATTTACCAGAACTATGCAAGTAAGCCGGTATTGTGTCCAAACAGTACAGTGGCCACCATACACTGCATGAAAAATCACACAGCAGACGACGCTACGATTACGTCACCTCCCTCACCGAAATAGCTCCTCTCAACATTCTCCTGTTGCTGTTCTTACACTATATACACACACTATATATACCCATGTACATATGTGTTGCCCATAGCGAACCAATAAGCTAGTATGGTGAGCAAAACAAGAGTGGCAGCCACACACACACAATGAGGCTACCTCAATTCTCGCCCTCCCTCATCAAAATTCCTCCTTCCACAATACTACGCACAACGCTAATTATAACCACAATCCTGCTATTATCACAATCCTGGTCACTAATTCCTGTAAATGAATAATTGACCACACGTTTATTTTGAAAAGGAACCTTAGAAATCATTTGAAGATTCCTAGATGAACGAAATAATGCTGTGGTGCTGTGGCTAGCGCTGTGAACATCGTGAACAGCATTGAATCACTGATATTTGAACATTGTACCCAGTCATTATCACACTCAGGCTCTAATATAACACTATCATAGCTAAATAATACAAGTTATATATATATTTTGGCATTATTAGGCGATGCTGTGGTCACATGCTGAACAGCAGTGCTGTGCGCTCATGCTGCGAGCGCCAGCCTTGGTTGCTCACACACTACTGAGGCTCCCACACCCGGGAATGTGGACCACGATTTTTTTTAAAGATGGCGTCTGTTTACAAGAGCCCTGAGGAAGCTGATGTGAACCCCATGTAGCCGCGGGAGTTTTGAATGGAACGTGAAAAATACAAATACCCGGAGGCGCGTTGCGCAAACCAGACGTGAGCCTGCAGGCGCGTTGCGCAGTTTAAGGGTTAATAATTTTGTTGTATTTGTGTCTAGCTTTGGACACGAGCATGTTACAGTTATGTCTTAGAGTTAAGATCATTTAAGGATGTTAAATAGTCTCTTTATCAACCCTATCAATTCCTCTTAGAATCTTGTATGTGGTGATCATGTCCCCTCTAACTCTTCTGTCTCCCAGTGACGTGAGGTTTAATTCCTGTGGTCTCTCCTCGTAGCTCATACCCCTATGAGCTCATACTCATGTGTGTTTGTGTGTAATATGTTCAGGGATTTAAACAGTCTAGTATGGTATAATTAGTAATACCAATGATTGGTTTTGACTTGGTTACCTAATGTCACCTTTACCTATGTGCACTGTATTTGAACTTCTATTTTGTACACAGTAAGCCCTTGGTTTGCATAAATTCGTGCATGCAAAGCACATGTTAAAACAAAGTGTTACCTAACAATTGCTTTGTGTTATTGTAGGCTTTGAACTGCAGCCAAAATAATAGGAAGCACACAAGTTTAAAAACAAAACACACATTCAAGTTTACAAATGTTATTCGTGGCTGTTTGGTACACTTTGGAATAGGTTTCTCTTTTTGTATCAACCTAATCAATCTCTCCTCTCCCCTCATATTATATTGTATTATGATACCTAATGTTTTGATTGGTGCTTCATAGATGCAGTGACTTGGTACCAGAAAGAAAATGGCTGTTACCCCAACATGATAGTGGTGTACCGGGATGGGGTTGGTGAAGGACAAATTGAGTATGTCAAGGAACACGAAATAGCTGCAATTAAGGTGAGGTCATCAGATAATTGTTACTTTTTTCCATTTCTAGTTATCTTTGTATGAAATGTCTCAATGTTTTATGTAGTTGTCTGTAATAAGTGCTTGTGCTTGGTCTTTGGAACGTCTCTGTACGTTATATTAGTCCAAGACAGTGCATGACTAGAACTTGTGCGTGACGTAGCAGTATTTTTCAAGTGTGTAGAGTGGCCGGCCGCTATGACTGATTTAATGTGTTGAACACAAGTGGCTTTAATGACTTTAAATATTTGTCGTAACACAATTTTTCCAGAGGTGTTTTGAAGAAGCGCTTCCAAAGCCACCGAGGTTGGGTTTCATAATCGTGTCAAAGAGGATCAATACTCGAATGTTTCTGGAAAATAGAGGCCAAATTGAGAATCCATTACCTGGTACTGTGATAGACGATGTCATTACACTTCCTGAGAGGTCTGTATCTATATATATCTATTTATGTATGTATAATTATGTATGTACCCTCATCATATAGATTTTTTTCTCCCTAAAATACAATTAGTAGGCTGTACTGAATGACTCATTATTGTTCAGATTTGTTATAAATAAATAAATAAATAAATGTTTATTTAGGTAAGGTACATACATACAAGAAATTTTTACATGTTGCAAATTTCTTTTTTACATGTTGCATAAGCAATTTTACATGAAATTTTTATGTTGCTTCTCTAGTATTTTGTAATGAGGTATGAACTGGTTAATATTTAATGTTGCTGCAGATTTAACAGTTGCTGTAAATATTTCTCAAGTTAGTAGTTTATAAATTGATACAAATGAATTGGCGAATGTCTTGTATTAGTAGCTTAGTTATGAGCATTCTTCCACGTTTCTAAGATTCCAAGTTCAAAGTTAAAGTTCCCGATTACAAGTTCTGATGGACATTCTTACAAGTTCTTTCATTACTTCTGCTGTGTAATTTTCCTGTAAATCTCTTCACTGTGTGATTGTAACAATTTCAACGTTATTTGTTTGTGAATTTGTAGAGTAAATGGTGGCAAGTTTGGGGGGAAAAAAAACACATTAGTCATTGACAATAGGAATGAATGGCAAAAGTGCAGCTTTTGAAGTAAACTTGAATGATATTAATTCATATTTCTTACCAAATAGGTATGATTTTTTCTTGGTGTCACAAAGTATCAATCAGGGAACTGTGAGTCCAACATCTTTCAACATAATTGAAGATACTACGGGATTGCAACCAGACCACATGCAACGTCTTGCATACAAACTCTGTCACACTTACTTCAATTGGCAGGTAAAACTGTGATAAATTGTGCATGGCTTATTTTTTTATGTAGGTTGAGCTCCATTACAATATCTTAAATGTTTTATTACTACCAACTGGCCCACTTTTAGTTTGAAACATGTTGTAGGAAATATAGGTGGTTTCTATTGCACCTTGAGGAACAGCAAGGCTGCTAGACTGAGCACTCGTAAGAAGTAGTGATGCTGGTTTTGAATTACATGCTACATACTGGCCCTCGTGTTTAATTTTACAAGTTGTATATGCTGTCAACAGCAAGGCTGCTAGACTGAGCACTCGTAAGAAGTAGTGATGCTGGTTTTGAATTACATGCTACATACTGGCCCAAGTGTTTAATTTTACAAGTTGTATATGCTGTCAACAACAAGGCTGCTAGACTGAGCACTCGTAAGAAGTAGTGATGCTGGTTTTGAATTACATGCTACATACTGGCCCAAGTGTTTAATTTTACAAGTTGTATATGCTGTCTTGCTAGTACATACAATAACAGAACATTTTCAAAGTGCAAATCTAATTGTTCTGGTGAAGTTAGTGTCGGAAAACATTAATGCTTCCCTTGCCATTTTAAAATAGTTTTAGTAATGCATTATTTCAGGGGACTGTACGTGTACCTGCCCCATGTATGTTTGCACACAAACTGGCATACATGACTGGTCAAACTGTCAATGATCGTCCTCACCAAGACCTAGTGGATCGACTGTGGTGAGTTTACTTTGTGATTTGATGTTTGATTATAATACTTTCATTGTGACTGTTGTCATTGTTTGTAAACTACATACTATACAATATTTTCCTTTGCTCTTTTTCAAGGCTGTATATGAAGAGCACATCAAAATATTTTAAAAGAAAAAGTGATGCTTAATTATTGTGTAAGCTTTTATATCTGCTTCACCAAGTAGCATAAATATTACTTTTTAATAATAATAATAATAATAATAATAATAATAATAATACAGTACACACGAGTTCTTATATTCTTATAGTCACTAGTACGTGTAGCGTTTCGGGCAGGTCCTTAATCCAATGTTCCCCAGAATACGACCCCACCAAATCATTTTGACAACCAGGTACCCGTTTTACTACTGGGTTAAACAGAGGCTACAGTTAAAGATTTGCGCCCAGTAAATCCTCCTAGGACGAAGCGCTCACGAAATGCCAGGCGAGTGTCTTACCACTATGCCACAGGGATTTAAGTATGGTTCAATGTTATATACTGTATACAGTTTATATATTAATAGTACATAAAGTTTAGATTAAAAAATATAATTTTCAAGTACTGTTTCACATTGAAAAAACTCTTAATTTACTAAATTACTGTTAATCATTTCTGTAGGCTTACATCTAACAAGTATTTCTCAAATGTAAAACTTGACACTTAAGCTATGCATGAAAAAGTGCACATAATTAGGTGGCTATGGTCAGTCAACTAATCTTGTGTATGTCATAAAATATTATATAATACCACCACCACTCGTATATCACAAAGGGGGGAGGAGAGACCTCTGACAAGCCACCTGCTTCCTGTCCCAATCCTAGATACTGAAGACAAGGTAAATAATTCTTCTACTGAATAATACCAAATACTGGTAACAACCATGAGTACATGGAGGGGCCTGACAGCTGAGAGGACAGCACTCTGGATTCGTAGTCCTGAGGTTGCGGGTTTGATCCACTGTGGACGCGAAAACAAATGGGCAGTTTTTTCACTCCAATGCCCCTGTTCACCTAGAAGTAAATAGGTACCTGTTTTGTTAGACACCCCTTGCTTCCTGGGGGTGTGTAACAAAAAGGCCTGGTCAAGGACCGAGCTGCAGGGACACTAAGCTCTGAAATCATCTAAAGATAACCTCAAGATAACATACAATGACCACTGCCCTCTCCCTCCGGCTTATCATCTTCCCTCCCCACATCACCACAAGGGGCACACGCACTAGGGGACACAGGTGGAAACTGAGTACTCAAATGAGCCACAGAGATATTAGAAAGAACTTTTTTAGTGTCAGAGTGGTTGACAAATGGAATGCATTAGGAAGTGATGTGGTGGAGGCTGACTCCATACACAGTTTCAAGTGTAGATATGATAGAGCCCAATAGGCTCAGGAACCTGTACACCTGTTGATTGACAGTTGAGAGGCGGGACCAAAGAGCCAGAGCTCAACCCCCGCAAGCACAACTAGGCGAGTACAAGCTTATTCTCACAACACCAGCCTGTGCTCCTTTCACTCTCTGCATTCTTGACTCCCTGGGCTCATCATAACCTCCTGTATAAAGCTATATAATTAATATTGTATAGTTTTACAATACTAATTTCTATCCTGAGGTATGCTGGTCCACTAATAGCCTTTTCTGTCCCCTTCTTGCAATCAAACCACATGTAGCTTCATGTTGCTTTGTACACCATCTGGTTTTCTTTATTGTCATCATTTGCTACAGCTCATTTCCAACAGGCACTGAACCTTTGTTGCATGAAACCTTGCATAAATGTACAGTATAGACATTTGATTCCTATTTTCTTTTCAGGTATTTGTAAATGAATTCTGGTGTTGACCATCAGCCAGGTCAGATGACAATTTTATTAAAATGTTTAGTTGGCTGAAAATTATATAGTATTATGCATATAATCATTCAACTTCAGCTGGGAAATTAAGTACCGTAGAGGTATTCATTGCTATCAGAAAGTTGAGAGAATGCCAATGAAGTATGTGTTAAATTCACATTAAAGTTATTATTGAAAAATATAAAGCGTTGAAGGCTAATCAGCAAATTTATTGAAAAATAAATAGTGCCGGAAATTTGTGATTAAATGCTTGATAATTTACAAAATACGGCTAGTCAGCTAGAACAGGTTAAGTGTACACTATAGATCTATATCTTCTAGGGTTATCTATATAACTTTTTATTCCATTTGTGGCTGGATGGTGGTAGTCATGTACTGTGTTGGGCATGGTGACGCCGGAGGTCATTGATATAGCCGCCAATGGTGTGTGTAGCTGGGAAGCTAATGTAATAATTTTGCAACATTTTGGTTATAAAAAATGTGTACATTTTCTATTAAATATTTTTAGAAAACTTTTGTAGAAACTGTTAGTATTTTTTTTTTTTTACTTAAGGAATCAAAATGTTTGTTGCAGGAATGCTTCCAATTATATAATGGTAGTCAATGATAAATTAGGATTTACTTAATGGGATTTCACTTTGGAGAGCTTCTCATGAACAAGTCAACCCGTTCTCGCAAATTTAATAAGTCAATATTGACTTATTAAATATGTGCATAGGTGACATACTTAACATAATAGATACCCTTAAAAAGATTCATAGAAAACACCGACCTTACCTAACCTTGTTAGTATCTTAAGATAAGCATCTTATTGCTTCGTAATTACAATTATTACCTAACCTATAATAGGTATAGGTTAAGTAATAATTGTAATTACAAAGCAATAAGATGCTTATCTTAAGATACTAACAAGGTTAGGTAAGGTCGGTGTTTTCTATGAATCTTTTTAGGGGTATCTATTATGTTTAGTATATCACCTATGCACGTAGTTAATAAGTCAATATTGACTTTACGAATTTGCGAGAACGGGTTGGAACAAGTTTATACTGTATAGTGAGTAATGCCTGTAAATTGTTCAGTGATTATTTCATGTCTCAGTGGAAGCTGTAGGTTGATGAAGCTTGATGTGTATTGACAAACGGCGAGACATCAACCAGTCAGTTGCCTGACTTTAATTTTCCTAATGAAAGTTGTCAGCACACATTTTGTGCTCTTGGTGTTTATATTGTTGTATGCCTACAAGCCTATGTTATATTGTTTGTATGCCTAAAATCATTGAACTGCATTAGGTACGAATAAGGACATAAGGCACTGGCTATGATTCTTTGTAGATGTAGGGTTATGCAAATATTAAATTGGAGTTTAGTTTAATACTGTAAATAGTAAATACTGTACTACCAGTAACAGTATATGTTATAAGATTAAATTACACGTGTGACATATATGTGAGTAGCTATGGCAAGAATTTTGTTTATATTTTGTATACATGTACTATATGTGGTTACAGTACAAATTGTTGTAATAATCATATTGAGTTAGTATTAGGCAAAAGTAGTATGTTAATTGAAATATTGAGAACTTTTCATTTAGCTTGATTAAATTCTTTATCTGCAGACTTGACCTGCAAATGCTCAATGTTTACTTGTACTGAATTCAATTATTATTTTAGTTTCTGGGTAATGTCCAATACTGTACTTAAATGTGTTTGGGTTCTTGTATGTTAAAATTTAAGGATTGTATACTTGATAAACTTGAGTGATAGAGAGGACATCATAGATGTCGAGTGATTATTGCACAGAGCAACCTGGAGGTACACCCTTTCCAGTTTTAATCCCTCCCTTTCCACCCAAGAAGCAAATTAGAGATCAGCCCAAGCTTCGTCTTGAGGCAAAGGTACAGTATATGGGGCTTGTCTAATTGTATACCAATATTTTTGTGTATGTAATAAAATATAATTGAAGGCTCAGATCAGCAGTACTGTTATGTTATCAGTGCCATCTTTAATTATATTTTGGCTCATTTTATTGTTGCATTAAATAAGAGGCTCAAATTTTATATTTTGATTTAAATACCTAAAGAAATCTGTATTGTAATGTTGATTTACCATTATTTACCAGCTGTTTATGGTGGCTGACTGAAAATGCAGCTTGACCAGCACGTGTGGGAAATTTTTAATATTTGACTTTTTTTTATTTTGCTTTCAAAGACTAGTGGTTCACTACTAGTAATGGCTTCTTTAATTTGTGAAATGAAACCTAAGCACCAGTATTAAGATTCTCAAAGCTTATGCAAAATTACACATGAAGACTTTACACAAATGATGTGATGGGGGGGGACTTGATTTATTGCTTGTTTGTGTGTATGTACTGCATTATGTTAAGCACTTTCCTTGAATTGCCAGCCCTTCACAATGTGGCCTTCCTCCTACCACCGTAACTGACGGTGCGAAATGGCTCTGGCAAGGTTGCATATTGGCCATACATGCTTAACTCACGGACACTAAATGGAGGGCCGCCCTGCTCATTATTGTCCAAACTGCAGTGTCCCTCTTAGTCATGCATATCCTTGTTGAATGTCCTGACTTCCAGGACGAACGTGTGTCTTGCTTTCAGACCGTTTCTCGCAGTCACTTGTCCCTGGATAGAATTCTTGGCGAATCGGATACTTTTGATATCATTTGCCTTATGTATTTCTGTTCTCATATTGACATCCTTAGTGATATTTAGCGCCCTATGATAATTCTGCACATTTGGTGGCGCTATATAGTCTTCCCGGCTTGATGCCTTCGTTTGATAATTACTGTACTTCAGACAATGTAATTTCTGTTCTTCTCTGTCATCAGAGAAGAAGAAAAATTAGACATGATCACACACAATTATCATTTGAATAGGCTGGACAGACAACCATTTTTATCATAGAGGGTAAATGAACGAGACCCATGTAAAAACTGTACCTGAACGAGCAGCAAGACCTTAGAAAACATTAAAGTGTCAGAGTACTGCCACCAAAAACACTGGTTAGTGGACAAATGAATCCGCTAGTCATCTTGGTGATTGCACTGATGGTAATTAGGGCTTTTATCACTACAAAATTCTAAATGCATTCACCAAATATGTAGCACCATTATATGCACTGTACCCATTAATACATATACCTGTAATCACAAATTCATTAATTTATTCAGATGCATACAAGGACACAGATGTGAAATTATCAACGTACTGGAATTTTGTGAAATGCTTACAATTGGATACTGTATAAAGAGAATATTGATAAAAGTATAAATAGGAAATCAAGTGCCGTCTTGGATAAAATTTTGAATTGGAACATGCTCATTGTGAGGATCAAAGTTATATTGGTGTAGAGATAAAATTAAAAAATTTGCCAGGCCTAGTTAACACTTCTTGAACAAGGTTTATGGAATTAGTCTGTTTTTAAATGTGGACGAGTGAACAGCCATTTCTGAAATCACAAACAAAACTGTGCCTGTACATTATACAGTGTTTAGATTTTGAAAATAACAATAAAATTTAAATTAAAAAATTAATTTGAAATATATCGATTTGAAAAAGTTTATTAGCATTAATCATGTTAGCATGATTAATGCTGGGGGGGGGGGGGAGGATTCTTAAAGAACTTTCTTTAGCTTTGCCAGGATACCACCCACAACAGTTCTTAACTCCTGGCTCCTGGTGATAAGTGAAGTCATCATTTAAAAGATAGTCTTATTAATCACTATTGTCACTTGCAATCATATTCAGTAACTATTAAGGACGTTTGTAATTACATTAATGAAATCCCTACAACAATACATGTTCCCAAAGTTTGCATTTCGGTTAGGTCTTTCATCTAAAATACCGGGTAAGAGGAAAGGGTACATTGCAGCAAGGTTTTTATATCAACAGATAACTACAAAAGGTAAGAGGTGATTACATTGGTAAGGATATATGTCTTAAGTACTAATATTGGGGAAGTGGGTAGTACAAGATAGTGAGTTGGTTTCCTACCATGTGCTTCAACAGAGGATGAAATTAGGTACTTTACTTTTGAATAGGGCATAGGTTGGGACAATTTTTTAATTTATCGTCCCTGAGCCCATTATGTGCCTCTGTAACCCTTTCCACTACCACCCACAAGATGGGTATGGGGTGCATAATAAATGAACTAAACTTTGGGAGTGAATTCTTAAGACTGTTGACCCATTATTGGGTCAACCAATAATAGTTGGGATAAACACTGGATATACTGCAAATCTTCTGCGACATCCTTGACAATCCTCGGCAGCGATGTAACACTTGAAGTTGAAGTCAAGTTCCAACTCGCAAGATGCTTCAGCCTTGCAGCAGAGTAGACAGCCAGATTCCGGCCATACACTCGTCCCGCATTCGAGCCCTCTACCCCCAGCCATGCTAAAGCTCTGCTCTAGGCCTCGCACAGGCATCCTTGGCTGTCATGACACTACCATTTCCAACACCCAACTGCTGTAACTAAGACTATATTAAATAAACATAAAAACCCACAATACTCTTCGAATGTTGTCACTCAAAATTCTATACTTTACACTTTAATTTTTCTGAAATGCGATCCTCAAACTACTTTATAACTTATAGACCAATCTGAACCTTGTAACCATCGTAGAGCAGTCTATAACATTGAATGAACAAGTCTCTTAATTCTACATTTAAATGTGAACATTGAATTTCTAGCCTATTATCAGCCTTGTTGGGCCATTTATTAGACATGGTATGTATTAACCTCATTCTATACTGTCTTTGAAAATGAGTTACTGTACCATAACCTTAAACACTTAAGCGCTTTTTGAATATCCCGCCCTTTTGACAGTGCTGCATATAACCTCCCCGGCTTGGTATCTTTTGATAATTATTTCCCTAAAAAGACCACGTGACTGGCTGGGTCAACCTCTTTGGTGAGCCTTTTGTTTACAGCCCCCTGCAGTTTACAGGTCTTGCGATCCTGTCCCCCCTCCCTCACTGTTGAATTTTGCTCGTCACCTTCACTAGGCTCTCTTGCACGAAGGTGACGCTCCTGCCGGACCCCATCGCACACCCTTTTGCAAGGCGACTATAAACACCCACCTGTCCAACTTGCCCCACACCATTTGGTCCAGGAGACATCTCCCGTCACGCAGGGTGCAGTCACACCTCCACAGATCTCTAGTATCAGCTCTTGATACTGGTAATGGCTCAAAAGCCATTAGCCACCACTTACGGGCTATTCATGCCCGTGCCACCTTTTGGGTGGCTTAATCTTCATCAATCAATCACTTGCCCCATCTGTTTACGCCTACATTTTTTCTTGTCAACTACCCGTGTCATTAACATAAGAACATAGGAATAAAGGTAACTGCAGAAGGCCTATTGACCCATACGAGGCAGCTCCTATTTATAGCCACCCAATCCCACTCATATACTTATCCAAACCACGCTTGAATCAATCAAGGGACCTCACTTCCATCACGCCACGTGGCAACTGGTTCCACAAATCAACAACCCTGTTACCGTTTTGGTTAATATTACCCCCTACTCCCTTCCCAGACACTATTCCTGTCCTATATGTTACCTCGTAAATTATGCTTCTGAGCCCCCCACGGTTAACTAATAGATAAACTTTGACTTCTTGATTTTCAAGACAATCGTATGTTCCTCGTGGTAATTTGTCCTACAAAATCCTTGGCGAGTCCGACACCTTTGATATCACCTTATGTGTTTCTGTTCTCGTATCTGCGTCCTCTGATATTTAGCGGCTTTTGAATATGCAGCGACACTGATGATGCTACATATAGTCGCCCCGGCTTTGTGCCTCCTTTTTGATAATTACATTCCTGGCTAATTCTTTGATATATATATATACCATAGGAAATTATTCATATTATAGAAGCTTAGGGGGGGGGGGAAGTCGTCATTGCTTTGTTACTGAAATGTTACGTTCAGTGCCATAAATATTTGTCACCATGTTCAAGAGTTATCCCCTTAAAAGTTTTTTAGTTTAGTTCATTTATTATGCACCCCATACCCATCTTGTGGGCGGTAGTGGAAAGGGTTACAGAGGCACATAATGGGCTCAGGGACTGAACCCCACAATTCATTTAGCTAAGCAAGTTACAATCTTGAAAGGACATGGTAAAATAGGTTTCAAACTATTTTGTACACTGGAAAGTTATGGCAAACCTTTATTGCTATTTTAACATTTCTTAACTTCAAATTGGGACTATGAAATTATAATTTATGACAAGACACATGGGGGTACCTTTGACAAACCGCCTGCTTCCTTTCCTCGAGGCCATTAGTGTGTTAATGGCCCTCAGGTAAAGTTAACATTATGTTTCGCGTCAACCCAGAAAATATAATACTCTATCATAGCTGATGACTTAATTGGACGACGTGCACTAAATGCAGTAGGGTTTAAAGATTGAAGAAGCACTTTATATTCCTATGAGTGAAAAAAAAACATCTACTGTTTCCAGTCCAACATTGTGGCGTGTTGAGTTTGAAGCTATTATCTATTAAAGAAGTCATCTGAATATCCTCCAACTATAGGGATGATTGCCTTTAGATAAATTCAGAAGTGAAAATTAAAATGATGGTTTTTGGAGCAGTAGAGAGATTGGGTGAAGTTTGTCTAATCTTTTTTTTTTCAATATATATATCACTCATACATCAATATATCATATAGTTTCCAATAAAGCAAAGGAAGGAAGGAAACCACTTACTTTACATCAGTGTTGACACTATATTGCTTTTGAGAAAGTTCAGCATAGCGAGAAAATCATCCCAGAACTCTGTCGACTTTCATACCAAATACAAATATTTATTCAGGTAAAGTACATACATACAAGGTGAGATACAAAACGTTGATGGATTTATAGATAGAGCTAGTACATACAATGCCTAAAGCCACTATACCAGAAACAGTTGAGGGCCACAGGGCTAATATCACTGCAGCAGTTGAGGGCCACAGGGCTAATAGCACTGCAGCAGTTGAGGGCCACAGGGCTAATATCACTGAAACAGTTGAGGGCCACAGGGCTAATATCACTGAAACAGTTGAGGACCACAGGGCTAATATCACTGCAGCAGTTGAGGGCCACAGGGCTAATAGCACTGCAGCAGTTGAGGGCCACAGGGCTAATATCACTGAAACAGTTGAAGGCCACAGGGCTAATATCACTGAAACAGTTGAGGGCCACAGGGCTAATAGCACTGCAGCAGTTGAGGGCCACAGGGCTAATATCACTGCAGCAGTTGAGGGCCACAGGGCTAATATCACTGCAACAGTTGAGGGCCACAGGGCTAAGCTCATTGAGACTTAAAATACTAAACAATTGGGAGGATATTGATCTAGACAACTTTTAAAGGTCAATAAAGGTCAAATGTAACACATTCAAGGGGTAATTGACTCAGCGTTGAACCAACGCCAGTCTTGGATAGTGTCCCCCTCAGGCAAATATATATTGTATTAATAATTCACTGCGTCAGGGGACAGGAAGCCAGAGTGTATTCATACAAGTTAGGTCCCCCCCCCCCCTCCCCCAAGGTGGAATTACTGACCCCGCCCAGGATTCAGCCCCATTACAAGCTGACTAACTTAAGTACCTGTTCACTGCTAGGTGAACAGGCGCATTAGGTGAAAGGAAATGTGCCCAATCATTTCTGTCCCGCTCGGGATTCGAACCCTGAATTCTCGATTGTGGGTCGAGAAGGAACCCTAACTCTGGGCCACTGGGTTGTGAGCCGACTTTACCATATACTGTACCACTGTAATAGTCTCATACTGTATTCAAGTTATTATAAATGTAGTTATAATAAATCTATAACTTTAATACTTAATACACGATCAACTACAAACAAATTACAATATCATTTAACTAAGCAAACCTCCTTTAACATTATTAAAAGGCAAAGCAATCCGTGCGCAGTAAGGCTTCTCACCTTAATATTATGTCTAAATCCGCAATAGGAGAAAACTAATCAAACATCAAGTTATCTCCAGTTCTAGATTATTTTAAAACTGTTGGTTTTAATTTTACAAATAGAAAAGAAGGCTTTATAAAGTATATAAGAAAGACGTATATGAGATAGAGAAGCGAGAAACACTACAGAGGATCAGCTGGTTGTTGACAAATAGGAGTTGCTTAGTGAGTCATTAACGTGGTGTGTGTAGCAAGGTTTACCCCGCTCCTCCAGTCATGTCCTCGGAGATTAACCTCTTGCTGGGTGAGTTGGCACACCATTAGGTTGTGGGGCCGTAGGGGCCACGGTTGGTGTAGGTGTTTGTGCAGTAGAGGTGATGTTGTGAGGTCTGCTGTAGGTCTTGTCTTACGGCAATATTACATTAAGTATTCACAATATGGGGGAGACGATGACATTTCGGTCTGTCCTGGATCGTTATCATGGAGTATATTACATATACTGTATAGTGGAATTAAATATAAAACTATTCCTGTCGATAATAATAATAAAGGGTATATGTGTGTGTTTGTGTGTGTTTTGGAGGGTTGGTGACGGGAGTGGCATCATTGATGACATGAAGGTTGAATTGATGCTGTAATGACACCTGTCCTTACATCCTAGTAAATCCCATTGAGGCCAGTAAACATCCTCAATGGCTACTTTACACCAGGGTTGACACTAGTAAGATTAGACAACATCCCATTATCCACACAAATGTTTAGAGGAGGTGAAGAGGATGAATTATGGGATATACCCATAGTCAGGAAGGAAAGGAGGAGTTATCAGGAAAACGTGCCAAGCCATTGACTATATAGCACATGGAAGGGGGTTAGGATAAGGATTTAGGATGGGATGGGATTGGGGAGGAGACTGGTGCCAATGGACACCCTTCACCGACCACCCAACCACTTGGACGGTCGGGGATTGAATGCCAACCTGCATGGAAAGAGCATTGACAAACTAGAAGATAATGCCCCAGGTGAGGATGGAATTTGATCTAAAAGTCGTAAAGGAAAGGGCAGGTGAACTATGCCTACCACTGAAATACCTTTTCAGAAAATCTCTGGACCAAGGGACAACGCTGCCTCGAGCTCTTGTGTAGTATCTAATGACAACAGGTGATGCATTCATTAAGGCTGTGTCAACAAATTGTGTTTTGGAGGTTATTCTGCAAATTTTGGTGCATAAATTGTTGCTTTTGTGCACTTCATGAAATGGCTTCATTTGTTATTTATATACTTACAGTATTTTATATTTTAAATAAAACATAGATATTTTTATGCTTTTATTTTTGTTTTAACATGCTTATACATATTTTAAGTGATTACTTTTGTACACATTCAGTATTAAAAAACATTACTTTTCAGAAAAGGCAACTAGCCCATTATTGCTGGACATTGATTGGGATTCCACACTTCACATTGTTGATCTCATTCGTCAAGGAGATGTTAAGTGAGTAGCCAAGCCTTGACTATATTTACTAGTATTTATTAAAAGTTTGCAAAGATTGAAGGAAACTTCAAATTGAGAATAAATGAGTTTCATGAGTATGATGAGTTTCATCTGTAGGCCTAGAATTTCATCTGACCTAGAATTTAATAAAGCCACAGGCAAAACATTGTATTCAAAGAAATCTACTCTCTGGTTGGTGTTTTTTCTGCATTGTCATTGGCACTTTGTGCTGTATTAAACTAACATTGGCAAAGAATGAATATAGATTGTAATTTGCTGTATTTTGTAATTCATGATTATGATCAGAATGTAGGATGATTTGACAGCTGGAAAACTCCAGCAACGCAGCAACTTGTTGTAATAATGGACAAAACAGCATCAGGTGTAATTGACTAATAGATAATATACTAATTTTGTGGAGGCAGGTGAAAGTCCTGTGCACCCACGGGAGTTGTAAATCTTGCGTGATACTTTAAAACATCTCTGGCCATGTTGTACCGCTTGCTAATAATTAGCAAGAACATCCCTGGTTGTATTTTGCAGTTGAAGGGTTAGACAAACAGAAGAAAAAAGTGTGTGTGTGTGTGTGTGTGTGTATGTATGTATATAAATAAATATACACACACAGTATTGCTATTTTACATATTACAATGAACAAAATGCCCAGATTTTGTCATCAAAAGCGTACAGATAGGCTTGTACTAGAGTTGTAGGTACGGAGATGTGTGAGAGCTATTCTTTTGGGTCAGGAGTTGGTTTGATTCTATCGTCGATAAATGTGAAGACATTCTGGGTCCAGGTGCCAGTCTTGAAGGCCTTAATACCTATTCAAACAGCACAGAATTTAATAATTATTTTATTGGTTATTGGAGAAAAGTTGGAGATTGCAGTGAAAGAAGATTTTTATTTATTTGAGCATAATCAAATATTGCAGTGAAAGGGTTAAGAGATTTTTCTTGTTTTTTTTTCAGCCCAAAAGCTGCTGTGCAGTCACTTGTCAATCGCCTCAAGGACACCAACCCCAATGTGGTCTTGTTGGCACTGCAGGTGTTCGAGTCAGTTGTTAAAAATTGTGGTCAGTCTGTTCATGAACAAGTTGCTTCCCGTGTGATTATGGAACAGGTCCACGAAGTCCTTCGCACCAACCCTAATGATGAGGTACGCAAGAAGATCCTGATGCTTCTTGCCACGTGGGTGTACGCCTTCCGCAACGAGACCAAATATCGCGCTGTACAGGTAAAGTAGTTTTTAATGAGGGTTTTCTTTGCATGTAGTACTTGTTAAATGGAAGTTAAACACAACTAAAAACTGTTAATAGCTTGGTCAGTTTATTAGTTGATTGGTTTTGAATAATTAAACATGAACATGATTAATATACTGTAGTTATAAATACAATCTGAGGCATGTTATGTTGGTCACCAAAAAAAAAAAAGTTATATAATCCCTGGAAAGACTTGTGCAGTACTCGTACTTATCATACATAATGCACAGTTCATATAGAGTCTGGACAGTGATTGTTGGAAAGTGAGGAGGGCAAGCTTGTAGTTAAGAAGTATAAAGAAATATTAAGGAAAACAATAACATACTGTATACATATCTTGATGATAGTACAGTAATTTAAAATGCATATCATTGCCACAGACTTGGCAACTATTGACAGAAACCTTTCAAATGTCTGCACTGAGGCTGATGATGTGATGTTTCAATATCACCTTACTGCATAGTTTTGTGAAGGTGCATGTTGATACAACATGGTACAGTATCAGTTTATGTCAAATACAGCAGTTGGAAAGGCTATCTTCAATATGTTAATGAGTTACTTGCCCATCCATTGATTTTTCTGATGTAAAAGTACTGGCAGCTGTGAGACAAGAAATTCTGTAATTTCTAAAGAATTTAAACATAATTGTCTATTATTCATTAGGCAAGTACTAGGGAATCTTTTTTTTTCTCTTGGTAGAAATATTGTAATGTATTCTGTTGTACACACATGGCAACTGGGTGCAGTGAGGCTTACTGTGCCGGGGTTGTCTTGCACAGGCTTCTCTGAAGCAGTTGCATTCAAGACATAGTACAGTGCAGTAGTTCACTTGCCTGGAACACCTGTATGTACCGTACTTGGTTTTATACAGGTAAGGTTTATTTATTGCTCTTTATTTTTCTTTTAATGTGTACAATTATTTCTTTCCTATTTATAGCATACACTGTACTGTGTGTGTGTGTGTGTGTGTGTGTGTGTGTGTGTGTGTGTGTGTGTGTGTATATATATATATGTGCACAAGGAATAGGGCCTCGCGGCTGAGTGGACAGCACTCAGGGGTCATGGTCCTAAGTGTCCGGGTTCAATTCCCGGCCAAGGCAGAAACAAATGGGCAGTTTTTACACCCTCATGTGTCTGTTCACCTAGCAGTAAATTGATACCTGGGAGTTAGAAAGCTGCTATGGGCTGTTTTCTAACTCCTGGGGTCCAAGGGATCCAAGAGCTAATACCTCGATTCTGCAGGCACAAAGAGTAAATACATATACAGTACTGTACTTATATATGTTAAGACCCCACAAATAAGTATATACCAAACAAAATGTTAAGTACAATTATCCTTAGGTGCATAATACATTTATTTTTCCATATTGTCCTGTCATCTCTTTTTAATTTCCTCTATTTTCCCCCACTGCAGTGTGTGGGGAAAGGTACAACATTATGACAAGCAGGGTTCACTTTACATTCCTCTAACAGCATTTTCTGCTAGCACCAATACACACACATTTTGTACATTTTGTTACAGGATACAGTTAACATCTTGAAGGCTGAGGGGCACCACATGCCTACTGTTAGCGAGAGCGATGCTATGTTCACGGCTGACCGTGCACCAGACTGGGCAGATGGCGAGTGTTGCCACCGCTGTCGTTCACAGTTTACCATGATAAGACGAAAGGTAAGAAGGCTGCTAGGAATGGGCAATATTTTTTTTTTATTTACATTACAATAAAATGTGATAAGGCTTAAAAACTTGAAGTAATAAGTACAGTACTGTATTTATTATGTACATTTCAGCATCATTGTCGTGCCTGTGGTCAAGTTTTTTGTGGGGACTGCTCCAGCAAGTATTCAACAATCCCAAAGTTTGGCATTGAGCGGGAAGTCCGTGTTTGTGAGTCATGTTTTGACGACATAAACAAGTGAGTTTAATATCTGTCCTGTTGATGAAATTTTGCTTCCTATCCTCGGCAACCAAACCAATTTTTTTTTTTCTTCTCAATTAATATTACATTAAGTACATTACAATATTACTGTATATTAATTTAAATGAGGATACTGTATTCTGCACGTTAAAGATTAAGGAATGAGACTTGTATAGCATGACAGTAGTACACTTAGCATATTCTCTTTATTTCTAGATCCACTGTACAGTGCTTTACAAATTTGTGGTATTGCATTATAAGTGCACTTCAATACCTAATTCAATTATGATCTGGTTTTATTTAACTTTGACCATTAAGAAAACTAAGATTGTGAATGTTTACCCATGTTATCTCTCAAGAGACAATTTCTTATTTTGAAATCTGAATTAGAGCAGTAGTCTAATGTAGTAGTAGTAGTTAGGCATCCATTAGTCTCGGGAGACTATGGAGTTGCACTCTGGTTGTCGGTCTGGGGTGGCAGTGATAAGTTCTTAGTACATGGGAGTATTTTTAATACTGTTAATAGAAATGAATTTTATTGAAAGATATTTTTTGGAAAATTAAAATACTGTATTTGAAAAGGATTAAGCAGAGAGATGCAGTCAGGTTTGTGGTAGGCACAAGTTTTGTATATTGTGTGAGAGAATGAAACAGAGGTAAAGTGCTGGTTGATTGATTGGTTTTAAATGGGGCATCTATCAATATTCAGAAGGAAAGGTGCAAAGACTTACAAACACTGTGTAGAGAAGAGGGCTGGATTACTTAGGCTTAAGATAGTTAAAGAGGACAGGATAATTATGCTAGGAGGATATATGGGTTAGATGAACAGGTCAGGAAGGGCTGGTTGAGTTGAAGGTTTGTGGGGGGGGGCGTTATGCCAGCTTTTCTAGTCAGATCCTCGCCTTCAGATAAATAAAATGTTAGTGTTTATAATCCATTTCAAGTGTATGCAAAATACTTGTGGAATGAGTTGGAAGTTTCTGATTCCAGAGGATGATACTGTAGTTAAATGAGAAGTGGGGATAAGAGGGAGAGGAAGAAATCCTATCATAGATAATGTTAGATGGATTATGTCATAAGTATCACCTGTGACAATTACACGTAACACACTAAAGCTTGTATGAGAGTAGTGTAGCCTGTACTTTTGTTTAATTGGAGAATTTGTGTTTTAAACTTAGGATGGGTGGTGGTTTGTTTTATTTCATTTTTAGGAATGAAATGGAAGCCTTTAGGAAGAAATGGAAGAAGGAAATACACATTGTGGTGCAACTGTTATATTGGTAGGGGCAACGTGTATAGGGAAGGGTTATTATAGGATGCTTTATTGCATAATGGGAAGTGTCTCTTGACATTGACTAGATGATTGAGGAGAAAATCAAAATACTTTATGGTACTTGCTTATTGAACCTGATTTTTGCTCAGGTGAAAGTGATGTTTTGTATATATATTACCAGGACATGTTTGATTAAGGTATTAATAATTAAAACAAAGTTGATTTTTTTCAGGTAAGAGTTTATTAGATTATAATTTTAACTTAATATTTTTATAGAGCACTATTAAATTCATTGTGTTATGACTTCTTTTTATAGTTTTGCATTTCATCTTTGTTCCTTAAAACTGGAACTACTGCTGTAATAGATTTTTATAAATTGTTTTAGCCAGAATTCAGCTTTAGAATATCATGAGGTGAAATGATCAAAGTATTCTGTACTAACCTACCTTTGAATTCTTCTAATGCTTTACATTGAGCTGTCAGTGGCTGTTTGGAGAAAGTGGCATCTTTGAGTCGAAGCAGCAGCACCGAATCTCTCGACCTGAAGAATGTAAAAAAATTTTGCATTATTTTATTGCATCCTGCCCTAAGTTTGTTCATTTCTGAAAATGAGAACATTGTTTATCTCTGCCCTTATATATTTAATGTAGAACATGAACATCTTAGCATACCAAGCACATTTTGGAGTAGAGAATGACAAATTTTTTAATCGAAGCCTTGCAAAGTTTCTTTTAATAGTCTCTCGAGAACAAATTTGAGTTGTACAGTTGCGGCATTGTCATTCTGCCAAATTAATTATTTATCTTCATCAGATTGTTTGGACCATAGATCATTTACCTCTTATAAATGTTGTCGTGTTTCTCAGTAACAGTACTATGGAAGAGCTCCCTGTAAACTATTAATGTAGTACAGTACTTGAGTAGCTTTGAGGTTGAAAATTGATGTTGCAGAGTCAGAGTTGCATGGAGTAATATTATGCTGTACAATAGACACTTGTTAATGCAACATATCTGTAGTTTTGAGCTACCTTATCTCAGATTCTTTGCTAACACAAGCAATAACAGAATTAATTTTATCATAGAAAAGATTTGTATTATCATACTACTGGTAATAAGGTAAATGCTTGATAGAATTGACACGTACAGTATATTATTCTGAGAGGGCCCTCTTGGTACCTTTCCAAGTTCTCCGATAGCACCAAGCCTTTGTCTAACACACTAAACCTTGAAATCCATCTGTCATCTACCAGGAGCCCAAATCAGAATCTGGCTCTGTATGTGGTCGGTAGAGCAATGATCTCGCTCCATGCAGGTTGGCGTTCATTCTCCGACTGTCTAAGTGGTTGGGTACCATTTCTTCCAGCCTCTTCCCTGTCCCATCCAAAAATATAGTCGTAATGGCTTGGCATATAATTTCCTTCCCTTCTGTATGTGGCAAGGGGGAACGGAAGTGGCGATCAATCCCAGAACGGAAGAAACCCCACCAGAAAGTACAAGTGCAGGGTCGCTCCAAGTAAATAGCCTGTTGGACCAAGCTCTCACAGATTGAGCCTAGCCCAGGGCCGAACTTGGGGAGTAGAACTCCCAGAACCCCATCCAGGTACAGTCCAGGTGCACTAAAACATGCAACTGCTTGCGAGAAATTAAACACCCCTAGGTATACGAGGTAAATGCTTCACTTCCCCTGCAACTAAATAACTCCTGACCACTGCCAGATATCAGTTTAGGTTACTGGAGGTCTTGGCCATCCTGCCCTTCCACTGTGGAGCCACCTGTGCTCCAAAATGACTCCATGGTGAAGAACAGAAGCTGTCTGTCCCCTGCTTAAGAGCAGGGACAGAGAACTACTGGGGGCATGCAAGAAAGGCTTTCATTCATTACACTCGATGTTTGACTTCTGGGAGGCACCTCTCTGTATCTCTCAGAGCTTTCTCATAATGACGCCTTAATTAAAGAAGCCAATTTTTTCCCAAAGTGCACACAAGCATGGCTAGACTGAGGGACATCTAATAAGGAACAGTTAGTCATAGTCAGGACTAATAGAGACGGGGGGTCTAATGTAGCCTGCCTGAATATCATCCATGGACATGGTGGCAAAGAAACCTTTCAAAGCCACATACAGCCACATACCTCCAGATTGGAGGCAAATTTGCTGGCTGGCTGTTGCAAACCATCACACAGAGGACCTGGTAACAGCAGGCCTTGGGACACAGGGTGTGAGAAACAAGAGTGAGAGTGTGATGGGTGCGCGCGCATGCGCAAATTCTGCACATCAACCAGATGACAGAACTCCCTGGCAGGGGATCTCTTGAGAGGTTATCTTGAGATGATTTCGGGGCTTTAGTGTCCCCGCGGCCCGGTCCTCGACCAGGCCTCCACCCCCAGGAAGCAGCCCGTGACAGCTGACTAACACCCAGGTACCTATTTTACTGCTAGGTAACAGGGGCATAGGGTGAAAGAAACTCTACCCATTGTTTCTCGCCGGTGCTTGGAATCGAACCCGGGACCACAGGATCACAAGTCCAATGTGCTGTCCGCTCGGCCGACCGGCTCCCATTAAGGAAATCAATTATTAATCAATCAATCATTAATCAATCCCATTAATCACCGGGATTAAGGAAAGCCCAAGACAGTTGAAGAAAGAAGTAAGAGTACAGCAAGAGACACTGTTAACGTGTAATATCCATATATGTATATAATATACATATATAAGTATACCACACACATAGACACTGTTAGTGTCAGAAAAGACGAGGGGACAGTATGTACTGAAAAGGTAGCAACTGGGGAATAGAAAAACGCCAGGACAGAAACGCAGTACCTACAGAAATCGATACGAAAGAATCGCTCCAAAGAGGGGAACGTGCTTAAAGCCCTCAAGATCATCACATAGTGCCACCATGAAAAAAGACCCCAATGTGGCACCAAAAATGCCTGCCGCCTGACTATCACCACAAAAGACGTGACACAAGGCCAAAAAAATCCCCCACATGAAGATCAGCGGAGAGCCACAAAACATTGAGGCTGGATACTCTGCCAAACCATGGAGAGAGACAGAACCTGGGAAAGGAAATGGGTCAGATTCTGACTGTGATGCCTGTAGGTGATGGATGGGTCTTGGAGCTTGGCTTGTTGAGCTAAGGCTTGGTGGTATTACATCACAGATAAGCTTGGGGGGAACTACTGGGGACCAATCAGAAAAAGGCATTTCATTACAATCAACTTTGATTTTTCAACAACTTCTCTGACCATTAGAAAATATTTGGGCACCTAAATTCCTGTGTATAGTATTTGGTTCTGTGCGGTCATGAATAGTATATATCTTGTTTGAAAAACTGGTGTGTAAGGAAAATAAGCATACGTAAAGGTGGTACTGTATTAAATTGATATACAGTACTGTAGTATCTCGTCAAAATACTTTTATTCTAAATTACACTTCAGAGTGCAGAATAATACTGAACAGCAATATTCTGGCTAGTAATAGCCAAGTTTGAGGGCAGGCTGCTAAAGTAAGAGGTCTAAAAATTATCAGTCATCTGTAATAAATTAATAATACAAATTATTAATATGGTAGAAATATATACTACTGTACATCTTGATCATTTTTCCTTGGTAATCTTGCCCATAAATTTCAGTATAGCCGATTATAAAATGAATTTTATTTTCATCTGTGTTCCGGGAAAAAGTTAGAATATTAAATATTGTATAGGAATCTGTTCAATACTAATCTGAATCACTTGAGTAATAATGACTCTGCAGCCATATTAAAAGGTTCATTGTTTTTGTGGCTGCTTGGTTTATTACCCGTTTATCTTAATATATTGTCAATGTTTTATTGATCAAATTAGTCGGTGAATTCCTTTACCGACGTATTTCTAGCACCTGCCTTGTTAATGTTAGATAACATGCAACTGAAAGTTTTTCGTTTAATTTATGTACTCTATACATTACACTTTAATTGATTTTCTTCCGTACATCAGAGTAGGTATGTTAATACGTCATTTGTTTTAATTGTATGCTGAAGAAAGCAGACACAATAGTTTTCCACCTTTTACTCTGCCCAGATCCACAATTTTGGACCCAGCGACTTGGGACCAAGAGACCAGACCGACAGAAAGGTTAAAAGCTTTCGTTATTTGTGATATGATCAGCCGTTACGAGCATTACCATTGTCAATACCTCCCATGCATGTCAATTGCCAAAGTTTGTGGGCAGAAATGATTTTTAGCACTAACGTTTTTGTATGTAGTTGTAGCTACCGTATTTGGTCAAAGGTTAGACTGAGGGTGGTAAACGAGGTCTTAATTGGCCCCGAGAAAACTTTAAAATAAGTATCACAATGTTAATATTTCCTTTACACTGTAGTTATTCAGAATTTTTAATTTACATGCAAGTACAGTATTTGTTTTCATGGGTGGCAGGTTTCCTCTGTTGCATTCGGTTGAAAATGGGGAGAAGTTTATATGTAGAGTAGAGGCAGAAGTTCAGAAATTCGCAGTTGTGTTCATGCACGGTTACAATATTTTATAAATTTATAACAATATGAGTGCTAGAGAACTAACAGCAAATAATTCTAAATTAGTTGTAATACAACTCTACAAGTTTAGAGATGTGACCTTCATGAGTAGCTGCTTCATATCCTTGTGTGGTTGTAGAGGCCCCAACCAGCTGTTACATCTACAACATGAGCCTTAATCAAGTCATTTTGTAGGGATATACACTGTGTGAGAAGTGAGAAGTTGAGCTGCATACTGCATGTATTCCAAACACAGCTGGGCTCATGAAATTTGATTGGGGTAGACATAGGCTGCCATGACTGGGTATACTAGATGCATTTGTGAGGAAAAAGCAAGGCCTACTGAAAATTGTGTGGCAGTTGCTCTAAATTATCCACTCCCTTATCAAGATGGAATTAGATTTAGAGAGTGATCATTCATGGGGAAAATATGTAAATATTGGTAATCAATTTTGTTAAATTACGCAGAATTTATATAGTTATTAGCAATCAAATTTAAGTTAGTGAAATTAAATTGAGTAATTCTAAAATTTAGGCTATAAGGTTTCTGGCAAAACATTAAATAATAAAGTGCAGGATAAGATTTTTAGATGGGTGATGCGACTAGGCAAGTGGAAGTAGATTCGGTGAATTCCAGTCTTTCTGATTAAAGGTGAACTAATTTGCAGGAGGACCTTTGAACTAAATTGTTGTGATTTTTAGCTTTGTGAATATAATAGTTGGGAGGAGGAAAAGCCAGCTTCCCAAGAGCTGGATAGTCCATGAATACAATACTAAAGTTTTTAAGAATTTTTATATAGTGAGTAATTCTGAATAATGAAAGGATATCTAAAATATCTTTGAAAGTCTAGGTAAATAACCATTGTGGTTACTGCATTAGCCTTTAAATATCCCCCAAATTCATCACTTTAAATTACTACAATATTCCGAATATTATTTCCACTTCTGAGTGACTTCCTAAAGTCAATTTGACCTAAAGTTGAGGATGCTTATCAGTGCAATATTTAGGTTATCATTGCCTTCAAGTTATGGGCATTGGATGTTAGAGAGTGAGTCAAGTTTCATTCTAATAAAACTGTGTTACTTGGAATCAGAAAGAAAGTAGTTTCATGTTAACATAATTAGATTTTTCACCACTTACTGCCACATGGTTGTATTGCTTCTGTTAGCTGTTGAAAGACCCATTTTAAGAACATAAATAGGAACAAATCCACAAGGGCCGTGATGAGCGTTCGAACCTATATCCAGGATGATCCTAGACGCGCCTTAGTCGATTGCACCACGATGTGGTAAAATAATTCCAACTGGGAATGCTACTGCCCTCACATGGATCCCACAGATCGTCTGGGATCATCCTGGACGTAGGTTCAAACCCTCATCACAGCCCCTTGTGAATTTGTTCATTTGATGTATCACGCTATTGTGATTTCTGTGTGTACATAAACAGGAGTTGCTGCTGCAGGTCTGTTGGACCATTCTGAACTGTGCCCATCTAAATCTTAGCCTTCTCTACTCCCATTTAGATAACAAGTCTATTTTCAAAGGTAGCAATGCTACTTGCCTCTGTGATGTTGGCCGGCAAACTATTTACTTGTCTATCGCCCTGTTGTCAAACCAATACTTCCTTATATCCTTCCCAAATCTCAAGTGCTCCAGCTTACAGTATAATTATATATGGGTTCTGTCCTGATCCGATAGTTTCAAGGCCTTGCTTATATTAATCCTGTTGATACCCCCTCATCCACTTGAAGACTTTGAACATATCTGCCTTGCCCTGTGCATCTCCAGTAAATACAACCCGAGCTCTCTTGATCTCTTCTCAAAGGATTTAATGTTGACTCTGTAATACAGTGACGAGACTTGGGCATAGTAATCTCAGTGGGGCGTTAACATGGTTAAATATAATTGGAGGACAATGCTTGTGCCTTTATTTCCCTGAATTCACCTGAGGGTCACTATGTACCTAATGGTCTGGCACAGGAAGCCAGTGGCTTGTCAAAGCCTGGAATTTGAATTGCATTAATGTCTTGGCATTTATGGCTTTGGCAAGGACGTGGTTCCTTGGCTTTATAACTATGGGTGTAAAAGCCTCTCCTGGTTGTGAACCCTAACAATGTTTACTGTATTACATGTGTTAACACACTTCCAATTGTCCCATCCCCCGTGTGTCTCTTTGCAACTTGTTTACTTAATTCATCTGGTAAATGGTGCCAGTATAATTTCTATTCCTGTAGCTTTCAGTATGTTTGGTGTACATGTCTTCAACTCTTAACATTTTCTTTGCTTTACGCTTTTGACAAGTTTTCTGATGATGGCGCTGATCATACTGCACTAATTTTGATTGTTACGATTTGTCGAGTTGAAGATCTCCCATATTTTTCCAGTTTATAATAGCATGACCCACTCAAATTTGTATGAGAGGCTCAGGTGATTTACCTTATATACTGCTTTGATAACTTCCAGGGTAAAAACCATTGTACATGTCCATACAGTAGTCTTATGAATAGTATGTATTACTGAAAATAATAATATAATTTAAATGTGGAAGCCTAAATAATGCACTGACAGGATTTTAGCTGCTTGGTCCTCCTCATATAGGTATTTTAAGGGCACGAGTCATATGTCTGCAAGTTATTTATTGAAGAAGATACAGATGCACTCAGTACTTTTAGAACCACCTCTCATATTCAAGCACTGAAATTGCCTTGATTCTCCTTCAAGCCTTTATGATAAAGATAAAAACTGACATAGGTTCACTGCAATGTTGATGCATTTAACAATTGTATTTGTATTTATTATAATATGAATTGTTCCTACATCTTGGATTTTGTGTTTAAATATAATACGTGCACTAATTTCTCTCCATGTGTGTATGTGGAAATGCAGGAAAGCTATATATTTAAATGAAATACATGAAATATAGAATGACAGCACTAGTACAGTGCTGTCACTAGTCAAACTGGCACAAGTTAATCTTAAAATAGGTATTGCATTTAAGGTTAAGATTGTAGGTTTCTTTCAGCTCGGATCACACCCGTTTAAATCTCATAAAATGCGAGTTTTAATCATGTATATAAATACTGTACTGAATGGCTCAAATCAGCTGATCATATTACCATTCTGTTTTGTGTGGTTTGCAATAAATTTGTTTATTATAATACAAATAACTCAAACTAAAGGAGAGAGCACAAGCATTTAACACAAGTCACCTGTTGTCCCACCTATAACACACACCACACTTGTAATATTTTGCCTGTATGTGTTTGTAAAAGTATCCAGATATATAAAAACTGACTTGGATGTAAAGTTGTAGCAGTACTTTGCTTGCTTCACCCTGCAGCTCACAACGGCCCACTACCAACACCACTAAGGTGGAAACTGAGGAGACCGGTAGTCCTATGACCGCCAAGGTTAGTTCTCATTAATTAGTGCACAGTTTGTTCTTTTCATGGCTATGCTGGTGTTTGGTTCCCGCAGGATTAGATCATGATGGTGTTACTCAAGGCTTTGATGTAATCGGGTGTTGCGTGTTAACATATCACGGAACGGTGAATGCCTTGTTGTTTGGTAGACGAAACCTTTTATAGCACACTCATTCTCTCGTGGATGCCCGTGTCTTAAAGTATATACTCATTACAGGTTCTTCAGGAAAAGACATTCAAGAGTTCTGTACTGTATTCCCCTTGTCTTTTATGATGGTATTTACCAGTGAGTAAATCACTAGAAATGGTAATCAAAATTAAATGAGTTGAACATCTTAAATTGGACAATATAATGACAAACATGCACTTTGATTTTCTAACAGTAAAATTGAACATTTTAAATGTGTAGTTTTTAGGCAGCCGTTAGGATTTGATAATAGAGGTGGTTGTGCAGACTAATGGAAAGGCTACTATTATGGATGAATAGTTAGTAAAAGGTCTACGGGCTCACCATAGCCCGTGCTACTTGGAACTTTTTGTTCTAGGTAGCAAATCTTTAACAACATAGTAAAAGGTTAGCAATAGGTCTTGCAAGACTTGGATAAGCCAGAAGAGAAGAGGAAATGTCACCATTAGGAGACATACTCGACAGACCACTGGAACATTATCTAACATGGTGCACATTATAAATCAAATCAGATTTCAGTTGATATTTATCAGTGCATAAGAAGTTATTAAACACAGTGGACATAACCTTATTGAAGCTAGCATAAGTGTCATCAGTACTCGTCCACTGCCTAAGACAGCAATGGGTCTTAGTGAGACCCTTTGACCTAGACTTAGTTTAGAGCCAGTCAAAGCTTAGAGCCCTCACAGGAATATCCTTCCCCCCCCCCCTCCAAAAAAAAAAAAAAAAAATCACACACTAAACAACCACAGCGGTTTCTCTCATTAGTTAAGTCATTTACCCACAATGTTGTCATAATCCTTTTTTCTCATTTCTTGAATGCTTGTAATTGTATACATATTGTTATAATTTCTCCATAGCATTCTTACACCATTCAAAGGGATTCTCATGTGGGTTTATACTTCCATGAATAAACCTTTTATCTGTAGTATGCATCATTTCTCTGGTATATTGGAATGGTCCACATTATATTGGGCTGGTGAGGATGGTAATAATAGTGCCATGCACTCTGTACTTTTGATGTGAGGAAGATGTGGTTAAGAAAATGTGTTTACAGCTGGTACCTTCACAGCATGTGAATAGCCTGGTCAATTAGATACATTTGAGAGACAATCTATTTATATACTGTATATATATAAAGAGTTCTAGACAATTTACCCTCTGCAGGATTGAGGTTTTCAGTCATTATTAGATTATTTTCCATTGCAATGTTGTAAATGGACATCTCGATCTGTTGTAGGTAGTAGAGCTGATTGCTTTGTGGAAGTAATATTTGATTGGAAATGAATTTAGAATAGTTGTCCCATAAAGATATTCGCTACACAAAAAACTGTAGTGCCCTTTAATTCCCTGCTTTGTTTTCTCATTATCCACATTATTTTTCATTTTCCTACTCCTGCATTAGACGAGTCTGCAGTAGCAACTTTAGACCTGTAGATACTTTGGGGTCTTGTACCGTGAACATACACCTTACCCTGCTGGGTACCTAATAACGAACCTCCCAGAGAGCATATGGTGGCTGCCTCACTTGTGTGCTGATCACACCAGCATCTGGAAGTTGTCAACAAAGGCTTCAAAAGTGTCTTCCGATGTCTTGACGTTTGAGAAGGGTTGACCCGGTAGTACAGTCGGGTTTGTTCTCGACGCACAATCGAGAATTTCGGGTTCGAATCCCGGGCGGGACAGAAATGGTTGGGCACATTTTTTTCACCCAATGCCTCTGTTCACCAAGCAGTAAATAGGTACCCAGGAGTCTGCCAACTTGCTGTGGGGTTGCTTCCTGGAGGGGGAGGGGGGATGGGCAGAACCTCGATATAAGGTTCGATAACCTTGATTGTAGGCCCACTAGAAAAGGGCATTTCATTACATTCGGTGCTTGATTTTTGGAAGTGTCCCCCTTGAGAAGCACTTGGATAACCATGTATTAGGTCTAGAAAATTTATATGGTGATGGGTTCAAGAGTCTTGAACCATCTGTACAGGTAGTCATCATTCTTTGGGGAGAATCAGAACCTCAGGAAAAGGAGTGGGTTTGGACAACAGATGGGCTTGGAAAACTAAATCATAAGAAGAATAAACTACACACAAGATAAGGAAATGACAACATTTTGGTCCGTCTGGACCATTATGGTCCCAGGATGGACCAAAACATTGTTGTCTCATCTTCTGGTGCATGGTTTAGTCTTCGTATCTTCAGCCACATTGTGACTCGTCTAAATCATAAGCCCTCAACTGGGGCAGAAAAAAACTGGATTGAACCATCTGGACAGGAAAAAAGAAAACTAGACTGGGGGGAAGGGAAGGGAAAGGCTTGGTAAACACCACTGACGTCAGTCCAGGCAGAATGTCCACTGCACATGCCCACCAAGAAATGGTGCTTCATACAACTGAAATTTTTTTGTTCCATGCAGAGGTAAACAAATCTTCATGTGGATAAGCAAACATATAACAACCAGGAGGAGGAGCCCTTATCCCCCCTTCATCCGTCAGAATTTGACAGAAGTGAGTGAGAGAGAGAGAGAGAGAGAGAGAGAGAGAGAGAGAGAGAGAGAGAATGTTCAATATGCTCTGAATGTGAACTACACTGAGGACTACTCCTCAAAGAGGCTAAATGCAAGGCTGTTATCAGAGTTCATCCCCCATGGAAATGGAGCAAGCCCATCCCTTTATTCATGAATGTGAATGACGCTCCACTGGTGGTACACTTAGAAAAGTAAACCATTTCTACAGCCATATTAACAATATCAAATCCCCAGAAATAAACTTGGATGTTTGAGCTGCAATAGAAAATCTACACTTGGGTAATTACTTGTGTGCACCACTGGTGGATACTAGCAGGTAAGCGAGAAGCCCACAATACACCATAGATGGAACATGGTATTGCAAATATGTAGTAGAAAGTCCGAGGTACAAAGAAGTACAATGCCACTCGGGAAGTTGTTTCATAAAAGAACATTTGTTTTTGTCAATGTTAAGGATTCCAATTGGATGGTGCACATGTACTCTTAACTAACAGTTTTCTATTTTTTGTTGTAAATTGAGATTACTATGTATATTTAACATTCATAGTACTCTATTTAAAAATATTTTAATGAATATATAGCAGCATTCTTTTGAGCTAGACAATTTTGCAGGTACTGTATTATGCTCAGCACAACATCTGCACATGATTTCACATTTAGTTTTTGCTTTATGTAGGCACCTGGGAAGAAGAGTGAAGAGGAGCTACAGGAGGAGGAGGAACTGCAGCTTGCAATTGCTCTCTCTCGCTCAGAGGCTGAAAACAAGGCGAAAGAGGTAAGGGGTATGTATGTATGTATGTATGTATGTATGTAATGTATGTATGTATATGTAATGTGAAACGTTAGTCTAACTGAAAATACAGTACGTGCTTTGCTTCACTTCCTTTGCTCAATCACAGATGGAGGTGCATGCATTTCTGTATGGAAGCAATAACACACCATCCAGGACCACTGTCCATCCAACATTGTTCTATTGGATAATTTTCAACTTGATTACACGCACAATGAAATCACATAAACTTGATGTTTCAATGAGAAAATCGGCACGAGCCGCGAGGAGGATCCGAACCCACATAGCATTACCAAGTGAGCTGGTTTGAATCCTCGTCACGACTTCTTCTAATTTTCTCATTGATACATCACGTTAGTGTGATTTCGTTGTGCATTTGGCAAGAGACGTTGAAGGTTGAAGTATTAGACTTAAGCCATAGTGTATCAGGGCAATGTGTGAAACCCTGACTGGGACTTGAGTTGGAAGCCTCAGGACCCCTAGCGGATTCAGTGGCATGCCAGGTTGCATTACTTTTGATCATGTTATGGTGTGGTGATGTTGGGGAGGGGGGGGGGGGTGTGGTTGGGAGTACCAAGATCAAATCCTCTTCACTGCTGCTATAGATTTTTTCCACTTTATTGCATGTTCAAACATACAAAAAAAATGAAGATTTGATATTCTGATGTCATTGTGTTGGTAAGTGCTTTTGGTGTTAGATTTGGCATTATCTTTACCCCTAGATCTTTTTACTTATCTGATCTCCCATTCACGGTGTACTGTCTTTTGAAGTCTTCCTTGTCCTGTCCCTATTCTCATCACATATAATATTGGTTTAGGCTGAAGGTCGGTATCTGTTTTTGGACCCTCTGTAGTTTTCAAGGTCATATTAAAGTACTTTTATTATGTAATCCTCCATGTATCCATAATAAGTTTACACTTAACCGAAACCATTCTGCCCGAAACGCTTAGCGTAATAGTGGCTTTATGCATTGCATGTACTAGCTCTATCTATAAATCCATCAACGTTTTGTATCTCACCTTGTATGTATGTACTCTACCTGAATAAAAATTTGTATTTGTACTTAATTAAAATGTGTTGGGGTTGTGGGCTGGGCGAGGGTGGTGGTGCCTCCTTGTGGTGGATGGTGTCGGTGCCCATTTGTGCTAGGTGGTGGTGGTGGCCCTGGTTGTGTTGGGTGGGGGGGTGGTGGCCCTGGTTATGTTGGGTGGGGGGTGGTGGCCCTGGTTATGTTGGGTGGGGGGTGGTGGCCCTGGTTATGTTGGGTGGGGGGTGGTGGCCCTGGTTATGTTGGGTGGGTGGTGGTGGCCCTGGTTATGTTGGGTGGGGGGTGGTGGCCCTGGTTATGTTGGGTGGGTGGTGGTGGCCCTGATTGTGTTTGGTGGGGGGTGGTGGCCCTGGTTATGTTGGGTGGGGGGTGGTGGCCCTGGTTATGTTGGGTGGGGGGTGGTGGCCCTGGTTATGTTTGGTGGGGGGTGGTGGCCCTGGTTGTGTTGGGTGGGGGGTGGTGGCCCTGGTTGTGTTGGGTGGTGGTGGTGGCCCTGATTGTGTTGGGTGGGGGGTGGTGGCCCTGGTTATGTTGGGTGGGGGTGGTGGCCCTGGTTATGTTGGGTGGGTGGTGGTGGCCCTGATTGTGTTGGGTGGGGGGTGGTGGCCCTGGTTATGTTGGGTGGGGGGTGGTGGCCCTGGTTGTGTTGGGTGGTGGTGGTGGCCCTGATTGTGTTGGGTGGGGGGTGGTGGCCCTGGTTTTGTTGGGTGGGGGGTGGTGGCCCTGGTTATGTTGGGTGGGTGGTGGTGGCCCTGATTGTGTTTGGTGGGGGGTGGAGGCCCTGGTTGTGTTGGGTGGGGGGGGTGGTGGCCCTGGTTGTGTTGGGTGGTGGTGGTGGCCCTGATTGTGTTGGGTGGGGGGTGGTGGCCCTGGTTATGTTGGGTGGGGGGTGGTGGCCCTGATTGTGTTGGGTGGGGGGTGGTGGCCCTGGTTATGTTGGGTGGGGGGTGGTGGCCCTGGTTATGTTGGGTGGGGGGGGTGGTGGCCCTGGTTATGTTGGGTGGGTGGTGGTGGCCCCGATTGTGTTGGGTGGGGGGTGGTGGCCCTGGTTATGTTGGGTGGGGGGTGGTGGCCCTGGTTATGTTGGGTGGGTGGTGGTGGCGGCCCTGATTGTGTTGGGTGGGGGGTGGTGGCCCTGGTTATGTTGGGTGGGTGGTGGTGGCCCTGGTTATGTTGGGTGGGTGGTGGTGGCCCTGATTGTGTTTGGTGGGGGGTGGAGGCCCTGGTTGTGTTGGGTGGGGGGGGGGGGGTGGTGGCCCTGGTTGTGTTGGGTGGGGGGTGGTGGCCCTGGTTATGTTGGGTGGGTGGTGGTGGCCCTGATTGTGTTGGGTGGGGGGTGGTGGCCCTGATTGTGTTGGGTGGGGGGTGGTGGCCCTGGTTGTGTTGGGTGGGGCGTGGTGGCCCTGGTTGTGTTGGGTGGGGGGTGGTGGCCCTGGTTGTGTTGGGTGGGGGGTGGTGGCCCTGGTTGTGTTGGGTGGGGGGGTGGTGGCCCTGGTTATGTTGGGTGGGGGGTGGTGGCCCTGGTTATGTTGGGTGGGGGGGTGGTGGCCCTGGTTGTGTTGGGTGGGGGGTGGTGGCCCTGGTTGTGTTGGGTGGGGGGTGGTGGCCCTGGTTGTGTTGGGTGGGGGGTGGTGGCCCTGGTTGTGTTGGGTGGGGGGTGGTGGCCCTGGTTATGTTGGGTGGGGGGTGGTGGCCCTGGTTATGTTGGGTGGGGGGTGGTGGCCCTGGTTATGTTGGGTGGGGGGTGGTGGCCCTGGTTGTGTTGGGTGGGGGGGTGGTGGCCCTGGTTGTGTTGGGTGGGGGGGGGTGGCCCTGGTTGTGTTGGGTGGGGGGGGGTGGCCCTGGTTGGTGGGGATGAGGGTGGTGGGCCTGGTGGTGTTGGGTGGGTGAGGGTGGTGGCCCTGGTTGTGTTGGGTGGGTGAGGGTGGTGGCCCTGGTTGTGTTGGGTGGGTGAGGGTGGTGGCCCTGGTTGTGTTGGGTGGGTGAGGGTGGTGGCCCTGGTTCACTGTACATGTTAAGAGACAGTAACTGGTTGAGCAATAGTAACCTTTTATGGGTGATCAAATATTGACAGGTGACGGGCCCGCTATGTACCCCCTCCTCCCCCTTTGGGTGGGTCCCACCACACCCACGGGCATTTTGGCCCATAATAACCGACCTATAAGGGCTAAACTAACAAACTCTAAATATAAAGCTGATCTATATTAACAAACATAACGTCTAAGACTTCACCAGTGGTGTAATCTTATTTAGATATTCTTGCAATGGCAATAATATAACATTGTTTTGGGGTAGTTGTTTGGGTTCATTGGGTGCGTGTGCTCAGCTTTCACCTCCAGGGTCACAATAATAATAATAAATAATTGTAATAATATATTAATAATGGTGTGGACTTGTAGAGAAGCATTACAAGTGATGATGAAACACTGTGAAGTGTGTGTGTGTTTAGCTGCCTTATGAACAAACAATGTCTTGCCATGCTGCAATGACATGTACTATCATAATTATTGGTGTATATAAATGCATGTTAATATAGTGGTGTACATGAGCACGTGTGTACGTCAGGTGTGTACGTGTGTGCGTACGTGGGCCAAGACGGTCACGTGACTCACTATCAGACGCGCGGTTGACCGGGTTTTAATTTAGCGATTACCACCGTAGTACTGTGACTGTCTTGAGTCAGCACCAGCCAGCTCCTCCACACACCTTGCAGCAGCAGGTAAACCTTGCAGCAGCAGCATGGCCCCCGAGCCTGCACCCTGGCCACTATGGAGGTGAGATGAGCCAGAAGGTGTACAATTATACTCTGGCAAATGTGGCCTTGTGAAGGCAGCATTGTTTACAGTGGTGGTGCGTCTCACGCCGTCTCAAGACAATTGTCTCCACACTACTCCTCAAGTTACTTGTGGCACTATGAAGGCACATGTGCAAGATTATCGCCATAAGTGAGTTTGGGGTAAAGTATTTTAAGCGGTGGATTTTTGTTGGAAGTTTTTGTTTGAGAGTTTTGAAGGGAGTTGGGTTAATGGGTCATCTTAGGCGGTACGGTGCTCTCTCCTTAGGTGTTCCTTAGTGCCTGGCTCACAGTAAGGTGGCCTGCTCATGTCCTCAGTTCAGTCACTTGGGAATTGGGTTTAGTTTTCAACATTCCTTGCTTTAACCTAAATAATGCCCTTAAGAAAGTACTGGTGCTGTTAGGCTTGGGTCTATCAAGGTCTCCCATAGTTAATGGTGGAGGCTGTCCATCTGGATACAAGTCAGATTGTACACAAGACGATTCACCCAGAGTTCGAAAGCTACCCAACCCAACCCAACGCAAACCCAACCCAACCCAACGCAAACCCAATACAGCATAACTTAAGCTAATACATCTTACCATAACAATATATAGGGTCCTGGTAACAGTTGGGTTCGTTCTCGACACACAATCAAGAATTCTGGGTTCAAATCCTGGGCGGGACAGAAATGGTTGGGCACATTTCCTTTCACCTAGTGCCTTTGTTCACCTAGCCCAGTGAGAAGGTACTCTGGAGTTAATCAGCTTGTAGGGTGCATCCTGGGTGGGGTCAGTAATTCGTCCTGGGTGGGGGGGGAGGACCTTGATATAAGCCAAACGTGTGTGACTACACTCTGGCTTCCTGTCCCTCAACACGATGAATTAATATATTCGGTTTTAACAAACATAAAATGAGCTTCGTCGAATCTTCTTGTTTGCCACTACTGTACTCCGTCCATCTGGCCCATCTAGTGCTGGCCAAACCCGTTGGTGATTAACCTGACTGCAAATTTTCCAATTTCAGAAGTTCTCATTTGTTGAATTGCAAAAGTGTCAACACAATGAAGAATAACCTGGATGTGTATTATTTACATACTATTGGATATTAAAATTAAACATGTGGAATAGACATGGATGGAGTGAAATGTTACTTTTCTCCGTATCTAATGTTTTTATTTATTTATTTATATATGTACAGTACAATATAGGTATGTACAGGTACAGTATAGGTTTTGGTGAGTTGTGGCCCTGGTTGTGTTGAGTGGTGGTGGTGGCCCTGGTTGTGTTGGGTGGTGGTGGTGGCCCTGGTTGTGTTGGGTGGTGGTGGTGGCCCTGGTTGTGTTGGGTGGTGGTGGTGGCCCTGGTTGTGTTGGGTGGTGGTGGTGGCCCTGGTTGTGTTGGGTGGTGGTGGTGGCCCTGGTTGTGTTGGGTGGGGGGTGGTGGCCCTGGTTGTGTTGGGTGGGGGGTGGTGGCCCTGGTTGTGTTGGGTGGGGGGTGGTGGCCCTGGTTGTGTTGGGTGGGGGGTGGTGGCCCTGGTTGTGTTGGGTGGGGGGTGGTGGTCCTGGTTGTGTTGGGTGGGGGGTGGTGGCCCTGGTTGTGTTGGGTGAGGGGGTGGTGGCCCTGGTTGTGTTGGGTGAGGGGGTGGTGGCCCTGGTTGTGTTGGGTGAGGGGGTGGTGGCCCTGGTTGTGTTGGGTGAGGGGGTGGTGGCCCTGGTTGTTGGGTGGGGGTGGGGGGTGGTGGCGGCCCTGGTTGTGTTGGGGCTATACACCAGCTCCACTGTATACTAAGTATTTATACATTAATAAGACTTATTTATACATTAATGATGACTACAATTATTGAAATCAAACTAGAATGGTATATGACTTTAATAATAATAGTAAATAATGAAAACAGGAAGGGCTTTTGATCTTTTTCAATAACACTTTCACTCCAGTTGCAGACGGGAACTTTTGGTGGTAATGAAATTTGAATTAGAGAATGCATAAACTTATTAACCTTATTTTAGCTAAATGTAGTTGAAAACTCTTAGCTATACCAGTATTTAGCAAAGTGCTTTTAGCAAATGTCTTGGGTATAATTACAAGTTACTGCTGGTTTACATATTTTTTCCTGATATTTCACACAGGGGATGCTTGACATGCTTTCTTTATGTGTAGTTGGGACAAGCAGATCATGTTTAGAAGTGGAATTTGTTCAGAAAACTTTTTAAAGTTCCATAGTTAAGCATACTGAGAAGTCATATTTTATTATGTAACCCCACAATATACTAGTATATACTCTTCTGAAAAGTACTGTACAATGTGTGATTTTTCAGAAGCTTCGTGCCACCTCCAATTTGTTGGGGGGTAATTGGCGTCAACCATCGCCCACTCCAGCTTCCCCGGCACCACAAAGTGTCCACGAAAAGGAAGACATGGATCCAGAACTTGCACGGTTAGTGTTTTATATCGTGTAATTTTATGGTGGTTCTAAAAGAAGTGCCGGACAAACTGGGCTGTGGTGGATATGTAGGTCTGTGGGCTGCTCCAAGCATTAGCCTGGTGGACCAAACTCTCACAAGTCAAGCCTGGCCTCAGGCCTGGCTTGGGGAGTAGTAGACCTCCAAGAACCCCATCAGGCAGGTATCATGGTTGCCCATGTTATTAGCCTCTAGGAATATTTCAGATATATTAATCAAACATGCATGTCTATTAACACTTCAAATGCCATATAACACTGTACAGTACTGATTCTGTTTATGAAAATTTGTATTCAGATTTGTAAAAAATATACATTTTGCAAAGGTGAATTGATGTACTTGCCATTTAGCTAATACTAGAGTTGACAAAAATTACTTATTTTTATATTAATTTCTTGTCACTCGTTAGAAATTCAATTAAAGTACTGTACTGTAGGATAATGGTGCATGCTTTAACCCTTCTATTACCCTCTTGTTCACCACCATCTTTCCTTCCACTGCCCCATACAAAACTATATTTATATTTATTCTGTATAGAGTATATATTTGGTTCCCCACTGTATTCTCTGGCCATATTGAGGAAAACTATGGTTGTCATTCTACACTAGACCTCTGGCCAGTAGTCAGTTAGACAAATTAGGTTGGTTCTTATTCTGTCATGTCGACCGTCCATACTACGACTGACATCATTGCTAATTATGAATTTTGTGTAAGTCTAATCTTTAAAAGATTCACTGAAGGCATGCCATTTACACCCCTAATAGTTACCTGAACCGAACCTACTGGGAGCAGCAGCAGCACCAACAGCAGCAGCATCAGCAGCAGCACCAGCAGCAAAAACATTCACAGCAGGTGGTGGATTCAGGCCGTACACTTTCCCCAACTCATCCATCAGCCCCCAACTCTGGTAACAAGATTCTGCTCTCACCATCCAAACTAGAGCCAATCAGGATGATGGAACACTATCAAAATGGGGAAACTGAGGAAGTGGACGAGTTTGTGTCGACTCTACGTACTCAGCTAGAAATATTTGTCAACCGAATGAAGAGTAACCAGAGCCGAGGCAGACCCATAGCTAATGACACTTCAGTTCAAACTCTGTTTATGAATATTACAGCTATGCATGCCCAGCTTTTGAAATACATACACCAGCAGGATGATAAAAGAGGTGAGTTCCAGTTCAGTTATTGTCTGAACTGTCCCACTTATTGTCCCACTAGATCTCTGGTCATATTAGGGAAAACTGTGGTTGTCATTCCCCACTAGACCTCTGGCCATATTGTGAAAAAATCTTGGAAGGCAATTGTTAACATCTTTTGTAGTAAAGACATTACTTGTAGTATGCTAGTACATGGACTGGATGAGGTCTTGTACAGATTTCCCCCAAGATTTGAAGTACTGTATAGGGATCCAAACTACTGAGTAACCTTTATATAGATTTTTTAAAACAAATATTGCATGGTAGTGGTAAATTCTGGACTTTGGTAAGATCATGTCTGGCAGTGCTGTAAGATTTAAAACGATTAAATCCCCTTTCCCCCCCAGTGAATTTTGAACGCTTGCAAGATAAAATATCACAAGTGCGTGATGCTAGAGCAGCCTTAGAAGCTCTGCGGGAAGAACACCGAGATCGTGTAAGACGTGAAAGGGAGGAGCAGGAACGCATAAGGTAAATGGGTATGAATATTATTGTAAGCAAATTTAGTTTAATTGAACCACTTGATCACTTGCTAGCAGTGAGGTAATTTTATAGCAAAGCAAAATTGAAATGGAAACATGCATCCCATGGGATTTAGTGATGTTTTGGGTGGCTCATGAATAAGGAGGGTTTTGGGAGGCTCATGAATAAGGAGGGTTTTGGGAGGCTCGTGAATAAGGAGGGTAGCTGCCTGCCAAGACGTTGTAAGTATAATCCTTGGTAGAAAATTAAGTGGCATGTTAATGCAAGAAACTTAGATATGGACATGTGGAATTTATTGAAAAAATAAGTCCCTGGTGTTCATTGCTGGCTTTGCCTAAATGAAGAAAAATTGTAAGCATTGGTCCATCCATATCTTATTATTGTTGTATTTCAGACAAATACAGATGATGCAGAAGCTTGAAATAATGAGGAAGAAGAAGCAAGAGTATCTTGAATATCAGCGTCAACTGGCCCTTCACCGCATGGCAGAGAGTGAACGTGAAATCTTTAACAAAGGGGCAGTAATTGGTGCACCAGGGGGTATGTATCCTGTAGTGTATCCTGCATACCCAGGTGCACCAGGCCCTATGCCAGGACACATGTACCCACCACAGCCTGAGGGTGGTGTCCCACAGGGAGGAATACCACAAGGTGGAGCACCTTTCCAGTCTCCCCCTGGCCAACCCCAGTATCAACGTCCTCCTGGATGTGTTATGCCTGTTCAGCCGGGACCTGCTCCCCCACAGCCAGGTTACCAACCACCACCAGAGTTTTCTCCATATAATATGCAAGGTAACTTGAAAAAAATAATAATCATAGTTGTGGCGAAACTTACTACAATGCTGTAGTGCTTGAATTGAAGGTGAAGGAAAGACCCAATATAGTATATGTGTAAGTGTATTAAAAACCAAAAGTTTGGATGTAACTTACAACTTTTCTTGGTTATATCCAAAACCAAAATCCCAAAATTTGGCTTTTTATACACTTGCATATATATTGGTTTTTTCTTCACCTTCATTCATAGACATTACATTTTCTCACAAAAATGTTGAAATTTGTAGCAAAAGGATAGGCATCTTTGTTGAATCCTTGGGTCATCTTTAAGAGGTTTAATTGGGCGAGCTGCTATTCTGCTAAGTCATTTTGTGATGTAATTCTTTAGTGTCTTAAGATCATCTGTTAAGTTTAAGCATAATATGATAAATATTGTCATAGGATTTAATTTTGCTTTAATTTGATTTCACTGGATTTCATTTTTATTGTGTGACATGAGGCAAATAAGGTGAATATGGTGCAGACTTGTATTCCAGTAGTACATATTCTCAGCTTTTATAGCAAGTAGATTCTTAGAAAAAGTACTCGAGGCTTCAAGGCTACTTTATTTAGATGGTCATTTTCTGCAGGAATCTCTGCAAGTACAAAGTTTCTATAGAACCTACAATACATGAAGCTTTGTATTTGCTTGATTGGCTCGGTAGTAAAGCTATGACAACATGAAATACAAATATGATAAAGAATACAAATTAAAATCGGAGAAAGATCTTATAAACAAGTGGGTCATTGCTCTCTACAATATATAGTGGAATTTGAGGATTTGGTTGCTTTAAATTGTACAATAATTTTTGTTACTCCTTTCCTAAGTGCTTTCCTAAGTTTCCTAACTCCTTTTCATATTTAAGCTCCATTCCAGTGCTTGTAATTCAGCCATGTCTTATGGTATTAAAATATTAGCACATTTTCTTTTCAGGACTTGCCAGTCAATTACCAAATGTGGGTGGTGGTGTTCCTAGTTATCAACCTCAGCATGGTAGCTCGGGGCAGCCTGGTCCAGGTATGGTTCCCCCTCAGATGCCTAGTCAACCTACAATGCAAACTCCTGGTCCAGTTGCTGGTGTGCAGGATGATATGAGTAGTGGCGCCCCACAAATGCCACAACCGCCCAACAATCCACCTACACCACAAGACCAACAAGCAGAACTTATTTCCTTTGACTAACTGCATATTATATTACAGTTGTAACACTTGCTTGATGTTTCCCTCAAGTCATTAGTTGTCAGAATACTAACCATTTATTGCTTGTAATAAAAATGCAGTATTAGCCAAGCGACTTGTAAAAATTCAACTGTTACACAATTGTTGATTCACTCCCCAGAAAGGGTATAAATGATGCATTTTCTTTATAGCCCTAAGTGAGGTATGGTATTAATTTTGTTCATAGCCTCTATTGCTTACATTTATTATTCAAATTAAAATAATAAATATTTCAACTGTGTGAAGTGTAAAAAAAATGATGCAAGTGTATATATAACTAAAACACTGTATAATATAGATGTGCATGGAATGAGTGATGTTCAAGCAGATTTTCTTGAATAGGATGTTCTGCAGTGGTAGAACATGACATCTTTGCTTTGACAAGTTGCTTTCAATTATTTTAAGAAGAACGGTGTCTTATTTTGTCTCAGTCCATACTTTTAATGTATCCATTATATAGCCTTTAAGCTACCAATACTTGGTTATGATAAATTTTGTTTTTCATATAGATTAAATGAGCAATGCTATAATTGATTAATGTATGTAGATAAACTATTATACAAATTTTGGGGATATAACATTGTACGAGTCATATATAGATTTTTTTTAAACCTTGAAAATACTACACAGGCAAACTATTTTGAAGATATTGGTACAGGGCCGGTACCCAGCAATTATTGAAGGGACATGCTATCAGAGTACACTAGTTTAGTTTTATATAATTTAGCTCCTTGAGGCTCACAGCTGGGAGGCTTAGTTGTTCCTCGGGCATTCATGGCGAGTGGATGAGTTGTACGTCTTCGTCTGGCACCTTGCCACGTTTCATCGCAGTTAAGTGTTGGTGGTATTGTGTTTATGGCATATGCCAAAGAAGTAAGCAATGCAACTATTGCTCAGATCATTGCTTTAAAGGAAGTAGGCCACCAATGTAAGGAAATAAGTGAATCGTTGGGTTTAGCCAAGTCAACACGAGTAAGTATTGTACGCATTTTTGAAAGGAAAACAGTGTTAACACATTATCACAGAAACATCGGTCTGGTTGTTGGTCTAACCTTGCTGTAGCACTTGGGGTACTCTCCAATGAATGTTGAGACCTTGAAATATTCCCGAGACAACCAGGTTGATGCTTCTAAAGAACATGCACGTAGGGGTCTTGTGAGTCAGTGGATCTCCTGCTGGAGAAACTGCCCTTGGATGGCCGAGTGTCCAGGCAGGAACTTGAGGAAGAATGGGGTCTTTGCACTAGTGTGGGAGAATGGACGAGACAGTAGGACTCCCCTGTTAAAAAGGGGAAGCACTGCTGGGGACGATGTATCCCTTCCTGCACTGGCCTGTGCTCGGTCTCCCTGGCTGCCCTGGTAGGTGGTATCCCTTGGTTCCAGGGCCTGAGACTTTTTAAAATGATTGATACATGGAAAACGAAATGACTTCTCTTACCCAGGCTCATGGGGTGGGTGACCAGGCACCTGAGTTGGACTGTGAAGGAAGGCCGGGCTCTGTAGTCCCCGCTACATTAGGCCCAGACCAAGCTGCTTCTCTGACTCTCCTGACTGCTTCCCTCCCACATATGTGGCGGGGTTGAGCCCCAAGCCCCCAGTGGTGACCACCTCATTACCTGAGTGGCTCCATCTTTTCTAACAATTGCATCTTTTACCCCACCCCCATCCTCTTACTGGGGGTGCTCAGCGCTGTCATCTCTACACTCACACGATTCCTTCCAGTTCTAATACATTCCAAGCTTTGTTTGGTCCTGCTACGTTGATTAAGTATTTTGATCTCACTCATGTTAATTCTACAAGTCTTGATAATGTATAAATCCATAAACACGTAGTTGATTTGGTGGATACCTTTGTCATTTTCAAACCCACCCGTACTGGTACATGAGTCGAGAATGACATTTCTCCTCCTACTCTTTGCCGTCTTGATGCTCTTCACCATACTGGGTTACGCTTCAGCTCTGGGGCCTTTTGTTTGACTCCTATCCTAGGCTTGTATGTTGAAACTGGCATCCTGTCTGCACGGTCCTTACAACACCCTCACTCTTGCTTATGTCGTACTTTGACCTTTACCCATCCTGTGGAACCTGTTCCCTTTCACCATCTACCTCTTCCTGTACGATCATCTTGCTTGCAAGGTTCTCTTTCGGTTCATGTTACCAAAGTTTCTCCTCGTGTCGTTCCATCCTTGCCCATATGAACCGTCTCCCTTTCTAAGTTTTGTAAAACCTTGACCCACATGACTAAAGCTTTTACCCCTGCTACAGTTCTGAAACTCCTTTTGCTTGCACACTTTTCTTCACACTCCCACTCCATTTCCGTTGTCACAAATAGGTCAAAATTGTTTATTAAATGTTCTATTTTCTAACTTAGAAGTTTTTCTTACTTCTGTGAGTCTGTAGATATAATGAGAGTAATAAAAACCCGATTGTTTCTCAAAGTTGAGTACTAATTAAGAAGGGAAGAAACCAAGTGTGTGTGGAAAAGATCACGTGAGCACCGCATCAGAGAGGGGAATGATACACCATCAATGTTGATGGACATGGTACATGACAGCAAGTGGAGTGATGTGTGTGTGTGTGTGTGTGTCCCTCTACAGATAACAAGGGGCAAGGCCTAACCGGGTAACTCCAAAGTGCTACTGATATTGGTGGAGTGCCAGTGATAGCAGTGGAGTGTGTGTGTGTGTGTGTGTGTGTGTGTGTGAAAGAATTTTTTGTTCTTTATTGTTGGGGGAGGAAGATCCATTACATTTGTACTGGAACCTTTCCCAGGGACCCTGAAACAGTTGGATGCAGTCCAGAACAGTACCAGGTGCTGTGTCTCGTGTGTCTGGTTCTCTACAAGAAGTTCAGGCATTATAGACCTTAGAATATGTGTTTTCCTACCTATTCAAATAAATACCTTTCTACCCATACAGATAGGTGATGACAGTTTATGGGGAGTCGGTCGGCCGAGCGATGGGAGCCGGTCTGCCGAGTGGCAGCACGCTGGACACGGATCCTGTGGTCCCGGGTTCGATCCCGGGCACCGGCGAGAAACAATGGGCAGAGTTTCTTTTACCCTAGGCCCCTGTTACCTAGCAATAAAATAGGTACCTCCGAGTTAGTCAGCTGTCACGGGCTGCTTCCTGGGAGTGGAGGCCTGGTCCTCGACCAGGCCTAAAGACCCGAAATCATCTCGAGATAACCTCTCAAGATAGGTACCTTTCTACCCATTCCATAGGTTACGTATTGACGATACCCGTTTAACTCACAGGCACTTAAAGGAGCGCCGCCCTGCTTCTTAATGTCCGAATTGCATTGTCCCTCTTACGGTCGTGCATATCCTTGTTGAATATGCTGACTTCCAAGATGTGCGTGTCTTGCTTACCGACTGTTCCTCGCGGTCACCTGTCTCTCAATAGCATCCTTGGTGAATCGGATGCCTTTGATGTTGTTCACCTTAGGCGCTTGTGTTCTCGTATTGGCATCCTTAGTGATCTTTAGCGCTTTTTGAATATCCCGCACTTTTGACGGTGCTACATAGCCTCCCCGGCTTGGTGCCTTCTTTTGATAATTACTTGCTTTCTACCCATTCGGATAGGTACCTTTTTACCTATTCAGATGAGTACCTTTTCAGATAGGTATGTTTCTACCTTTTCATATGAAAACAAATTATTGTCATCTAGATGTGCCTTTTCTACTTATTAAAATAGTATCTATTTTATTCAGATAGGTATACAGTATTTCTACCTATTCAAATTGGTCCTTTTCAACTTATTTGAGTAGGTACTGTTCTATCTATCCTTATTAAACTAGTTACTGTCTAATATATGTGCCTATTCAAATATCAAAACTTTTTTCAAAAACCTATTCAAAAACTTTCTATCCAAATAGGTACTTATTTACATAGTCTTATGAAAACTAGATACCATCTCCTTTTTACGTGTACCAATTTTACCTATTTAAATGGGTACTTTATACGTATTCAAATAAGTACTATCTACCTATTTAGATAGGTACTTTTCTATATATTCTTATGAAAACTAGTTACCGTCTTCTACATCTGTGGAAATCTATTACTAATGTGTACATTTACCCATTCAAATAGGTTTTACCAATTCAAATAGGTACTTTATACCTGTTCAAATAGGTACATTATACCTACTCAAATACGTACTTTTCTATCCTTATGAAAATTAATGTCTTCCACATTTGTTGGACATTATTATTGCAAATTTGAACATATACCTATTTAGATGGGTACTATCTATTCAAATGGATACTTTATACCTATTCAAATAGGTACTTTTCTATCTGAATGAAAATTAGTCTTCCACATTTGTTGGACTTGATTATTGCAAATTTGTTATACCTATTTGGATGGGTACTACCTATTCAAATAGGTAGTACCTATTTGAATAGGTACTACCTATTTGAATAGGTACTACCTATTCAAATAGGTACTTTATACCTATTCAAATAGGTACTTTTTTATCCTTATGAAAATTACTGTCTTCCACATTTGTTGGACTTGATTATTGCAAATTTAAGAATATTTTACCTATTTGGATAGGCATTACCTATTCAAATAGGTACTACCTATTCAAATAGGTCCTACCTATTCAAATAGGTACTTTATACCTATTCAAATAGGTACTTTTTCTATCCTTATGAAAATTAATGTCTTCCACATTTGTTTGACTTGATTTTTGTAAATTTTAACATATTATACCTATTTGGATGGGTACTACCTATTCAAATAGGTCCTACCTATTCAAATAGGTCCTACCTATTCAAATAGGTCCTACCTATTCAAATAGGTCCTACCTATTCAAATAGGTCCTACCTATCCAAATAGGTCCTACCTATCCAAATAGGTACTTTTTCTATCCTTATGAAAATTACTGTCTTCCACATTTGTTGGACTTGATTATTGCAAATTTGTTATACCTATTTGGATGGGTACTACCTATTCAAATAGGTAGTACCTATTTGAATAGGTACTACCTATTCAAATAGGTAGTACCTATTCAAATAGGTACTACCTATTCAAGTAGGCACTATATATTCAAATAGGTACTTTCTGCACATCTTTATGAAAACTAGTCGTCTTCTATATTTGTGGGAATTTAATAATACAAATTTGTTCAAGTAACTATTATCACCATGGGAAGATTCACTGGCAACAAGGCGAGGGTCACTGCAACAGGAAAAAGAACTCGCACACCTGAAATAAGTAATTATCAAAAGAAGGCACCAAGCCGGGAAGGCTATGTAGCACCATCAAAAGTGCTGAATAATCATAGGGCGCTAAATATCACTAAGGAGGCCAATGTGAGAACTACTGCTCGGCTTAGATTCGGTTACAAGTATCTCTGGGAATTCTTATTATCTGCCAATGTAGACCTGACCAAATGTAAACTGTCAACAAAATTATTCGCACACCCTCCGTCACAATGTGATGGAGTGTGAAAAGATACGTGAATTTAGAGACAATTCTATAACCAATGTTCCAATGATGTGTAAATATTTCATTCAAAATGATCTACCAGAAATTTTAGCCAAATATCCCCAGTTTGCTAACTGTAAGTAGTAACCGAGTGATTGTGACCTA